TGTAGATCCTTTACTATTCACACTAGATAGTAAGTGTGATATATCAGTGCAAACAGAGTAGATTTGAAAAATATATAGGGTGACCCATTTAAAATTATGGTATGAAGTCGGTGCAGCACTTTTCAGATATCCTGTATCAATAAAAATTTACTGATTAAAAAAATTGTTTAAACCCAAGAAACTTTTGTAATAACATTTTTTTTCTAAAGTCGGTAGTTTCTGAGACAAGGATAGGCCCCTAATAAAATGCCCATCCTGTACAAACTGTAGTATGTGATGTTTTTCTGGTCCAGAAACGTAAAATTGTAGTCCGATGTAGCCTAGGTATACAATAATCATAATCGCATTCCTGGCATTACATGAAACTACGTGGCATTATGATAACAGTACAATGGTATTACTGGAATTACGTAGTATTACGTTGGCATTCCTAAAATTGTTGGGATTATCCGAGACATTACCACTAAAAATGCCACATTACGATGTAATTACTGGGATTACATTGGAATTACCGGAATTACTTCAAAAAAGCATTTAATGCGCAATACATGTACAAATTTTGGTCCAGTTGTTACCCCCTCGAAGCATGTAAAACATAAGGAATTCATTGATGTTCATTTATTTGTTCTATGTGCAAGTTACTGTTATTTCTGGTAGAGTAGCTATAAATATAATTGTTAAAATTAATATATTCTCGAAAATAAGGTGGGACCAAACCATTTAATATTTTATACAGTATGGTTCAAATGAAAGGAATAAATTCATTATAATGGAAATAGTTGGTTTTTCGAAAAAATGCTCAGACAGGTCAATTTTGTTTACTTAAAGCGCAATTTTTTAAATAAAATTCAATTTTCCCCCACTTCCCATTTTTGGGCAGTGACGTCATTGACAATTTTTTTAAATAGCAACCCCAATTTTTTTTTCTTGATTTTGATAGATCTTGCAATTTCCTACTCGGAAAGATAATATTTGAAATATCTAACAATTTTTTTTTGAAAAAAAGTCATTTAAAGATCAGATACATAAATTTGATGTTATTTTGAAACACAATAAATTAATAAAAGATAATTATATGTAATTAAGTGCTTAATCTAAAAAAATAATAATAATAATAATAATAATAATAATAATAAAAAGAATTTAATGACAATTTCACAAATTCTTTTTATTATTATTATTTTTATTATTATTTTGTTAGATTAAGCATTTAATTACAAATAATTATCTTTTATTCATTTATTGTGTTCTCAAAATAAAATAAAATTTATGTGTCTGATCTTTAAATGTCTTCTATTCAAAAAAAATTGTTATGTAAGATATTTCAAATATTATGTTTCCGAGTAGGAAATTGCAAGATCTATCAAAATCAAGAAAAAAAAATTGAGGTTACCATTTAAAAAAATTGTCAATGACGTCACTGCCCAAAAATGGGAAGTGGGGGAAAATTGAATTCTATTTAAAAAATTGCGCTTTGAGTAAACAAAATTGACCTATCCGAGCATTTTTTCGAAAAACCAGTTACTTCCAATATAATGAATTTATTCCTTTCATTTGAACCATACTGTATACAAACACCATAGTCAAATAGTATGATCTCTGATAAACCGAAATCAATTGCAGTGATCTATGCATGGTAGATATAGGAGTATATTTGCTACACCTCAGTATAATCCTCATACCACGATTTTGCAGTTTTTGTAACTGTGTCGTTTGGTTTAAGTTGAAAAGGAAGATAACCGATGAAAAATAATCAAAATGTGGTTGAATAATTGAGCGATAAACTGTAATTTTAGTTTCAGCTGATAGGTGTTTGGATATTCTTGCAAAGAAGTAAAGTTTCTTTGATATATTTTTTTTTAAATATAATTAAAATATTCACTAAATAAAAAATTATCAAATTGAAAGCCAAGGTATTTAGTAGACGTTATAATATCAATTTTCTCATCATTAATTGTAAGATTAATTGCATTTAAGTCTATATTGGCATATTTATATTTAGCAGTTATTATCATAGCTTTAGTTTTTAAGTTTATTATACATTAAATAATTATTGGCAGAGTTTAGAGCCCGATTCATTTTTTGTACCGCATTTTTCAAATTATTATCATAACAAGCCATTTAAGAATCATCTGCAAATATATAAAATCACAATCAACAAAGAGGTTTAAATCATTTATGTACAAGATAAATAAAAGTGGCCTCAGAACGCTATCTTGGGGTACACCAATGTTAATATCCTTTTTAGCAGATATATTATTATTAACTTTTACTCTCTGTTTTCTTCCTAATAAGTAATTTTAGTAAACCAATTCAAAACACAACCATTAATGCCATATCCAGTAAGTTTCTTTAAGATAATATTGCGATCTATTGTTTCAAATGCTCTCTTTAAGACTAGAAAAACTGCTACTACATAGTTATTATTGTCTACCTCCGTTTTAAATTTACATAAGGAGAGTTGCAGAGCTGCTTCACAAGAGTGTTTTTTTGTGGAATCCAGATTGGTTAATAAATAAAATATAATTGTGTTCAATATGTTAAAAAGTTCATATACCACTGATTCAAGGACTTTTTCTATAGGTGGCAAAGTATTTATAGGTCGGAATTCTGAATCATTTATTGTATGACTTACTTTAGGAATTGGAACTATTGTACTTATTTTTAGTGAATCTGGTACTGTTGCAGTCTGAAGAAAAGTATTAATTAGATTTAAGATAACATGACCACACGTTTCAAATTCTTCTTTCAACATTTTGGAATTAAGGATTTCATAAATAGTACATTTATTGTCCAACAACTTTACAGTTACTCTCAATTCACTCAATGACAACAACCGAAAATTTGAAAATTGAGGATATATATTTTACAGAAATTTCCTGTTATTTCAGTAGAGATGCTATCAACTATTTGAGTAATGCTACCTATAAAAAATATTAAATTTACTTGTAATTTCAGTAACATTATGTTCGATTTGGCGTTTATTGTTTAAATTAAATTCAATAAAATTTTTAAAAAAATTTGACTCTAGTATTAATTAACTTTTTAAGAGTCTTCCACATTAGTCCAGAATTATTTTTATATCTATCAATTTTATTAAAATAATATTGTTTTTTATTTTTAGTAAATTTACAACTACATTCCTTAATTTTTTAAATGCTCCCCATTTTTCATTTTTATCAGCACCAGAAGTGGTCTGAAATTCTCGAGGTCAAGCTACAATAAATCCAAAATGACGACATTCGACGGAAAATCATTTTGTACAAAAAAAAGCGCGGGATTCTTTTTCAAGCAAAAATTATACAAATTCGAATATACATATCCTTAATTAAATAATCGATTAAATATCCAATCAACTTACCTCAGAAGTAAAAACAAATCCACAACACAACGAGCTATATAAACTGCTAAAAATCAATAATATTTATGAACACTAATAATACATTGATCTCTATTAGTCAAATTATTTTATGGCCATTCCGTTAGCGAAATCTCACTTATTTGAAATTATATCAAATGTATACCATAGAGAAAATAAATATAGAGAGACAGATAACAGAGGGAATGGGAAGTGCTTGTGAGTGTATTGGGATTGGGAGTGTTTTAAAAATGGGAGTGTGTTGTACAAAAATTTCGCTTGAGATTAATCCCTCGGAAAATTCTTTATACTTTATTTTATATGTCATTATCAAACCATGGAACATTATTTTTATACGGGCAAACTTGTATAGGCGTTACATTATTTATTACCCTTTGACAGTTCTTATAAAGTTCATCGTATATAGTATTTAGGTACATCAGTAGAATTTAAATTCCAATTACATGATATTAAGTCGAATTTAATTTTATCTAATTTAGCTTTACCAAAGTTTCAATACATTTTAATGGTTATATTTATGTCTTTGTTGTTATTACTAAGATATTATAGAATTTACTATTATTTGTAATTTGTGTAGCCTCAGTGATTAATTGGTCAATTCCATATTGTAAAAACATCGCTTTAATTTTATTACTATAAAAACAGTCATTTGTATAATCAAAGTTAAAATCGCCAATTAACAAACAGCGTTGATTATTATCAAAAATAGAATCACATATATTTTCCAAGCTGTCCAAAAATACAGCATCAGAACTTGATGGTGAATGGTAGAGACCACTGATAACCACTAAGATCAAGTTTTATTACTTTGCACCAATAATTTGGCTCAAGCACAAAGGTCTTAGCAACAAAATATTTTAAATTATCCTTCACGTAAATTATGACCCCCCTGTGCTTCGGTTTGAGGAGTTACATCTGATCAGATTCTTAAATTTCCTTGGTAATTCTTGCTTCACTTATAAAAATTATTTTAGGACAGTAACATAATAAATTTATTTGAATTTCATCGATTTTGTTAAGTAAACTTTAGGCATTTAAGTAGAATATATCAATATTAAACAGAATATTAGGGTCCTTCGTTAGTTTTTTTGTCTTGGTGTTACATCTTTATTAACAATAGTGGGGGTATTATTAATAAACTTTATCGTTTTTGAATTATGACCCTGAGTAATAAGATCATCTAGTGTAGACTTAATTTTCTTAAAATATTGCTGTTGCGCCTTGGTTTGGTCAGATGCAATTTTAATTCCTGGTATATTTACTAATTTATTTTTTAAAACAAGTTTGGCATCTTCGGGTGAGTTCAATATAACTTTTAACATGATATGTTGGAAATTGTATTTTCTTTAACTTCATACAAGGTGTACCAACGATAACTGGAAAAAACAAAGATAAAATATCAAAACTACACTAAACCTTTTCTCTTGTGCCTCTTATTGAGTCTTCGATGCCTACACGACTGTTGAAAGAGAAATATTAATTTTTCCTAAAATCTAATTTTTAGACTAAAACAGTAATTTAATCGTTATAGTCCGGACAATGAATAAATTATTTTAAAGTTTTAATATTTTATTCCAAAATAATTTTTTAATCTATTTATGAGAATATATATTTTGTTTAGCTCTGAGAAGAACGATGGTGCGTGCCCATAGACAAGCGTGGGCGTGGCAAGACGAGTGGCACGGCCTCACCATGGAAGACATCAGGGAAATTGAGAAGCAAACTCAGTTAGCGTTGAAGAGGAAGATGGGTCAATTCGAAGACGAACTAGGTAAATAGAAATAGATTTCCTTTTTGAAAAAACTATTGAAGTGTTGTTTGAAACATTTACTTTTATGATTTACCATTTTCGAGAAAAATTAATTTTAAAGAGAGAAAAATTTATAACAAAATACCAATGGGGGATTTTGAAAATATGTTTTTGTTATTATATAGCTCAATCCTTTTTCTAGAATTTTTTTTATGGGTGTTGAGCGATTAATCTTTACCACGTTCCCCGATTTTTAGGATTCTTTTTTGTTAGAAAATGGGTATCTTAGGGGTATATATTTGGAAAATCATTAAATTCTTCATTTTTGAATAAATTTTATAACTTGTTGTCCACTTTTTTTAAACGAATTTTTGATTTATCATAGACGAAGACGACGATATTGGCAACAGATCGTACAAAGAAGGTACCGGTAAAACTTTGGCGGCGACTTTCGGCAGTATAGAGGTCGCAGCTGAGGACAGTCCATTGTTAACCAAAAATCCCAACGTTCCTACCATCCAAACTGCTGGCAGTTCGGATGCCGATCTATCGCCTGAAGACGAACACATCACTGTCAAGTAAGCATTGTGCATTTTGAAAATTTTTGGAGCCACTTTTTACATAAAATACTATAAATACTGTTGTATTTAAAATTTTGCTTTCAAGCCTCATTTCCGAGATGAAAATAAAGCGTTAAATTTATACTTTTTTTAAAAATCTAACTTCAAGAGTCGTATACCACTTTTTTAACATTTCAGGAAATATTTTGCATCAATAACTTTAATTTTCTAGTTCCATCTTCTAAATAATAATATTTCAATAGGTATTACTAAAAAAAAATTACACTTTATTTCAAAATTAAAAAAAGCTTTAAGTACTTAATAAATATGTACCAAGAGTCGTATTTTTATTTTTGTTTGTTTTGGTTTCTTTTTTCGTTGTTTTTTTGTTTATTTTTGTTTTGGTTTTTTTTTTGTTTTTTTAATTTTTTTGTTTTTTTTTTTTGTTTTTTTTTTGTTTTTTTTTTGTTTTTTTTTTTTGTTTTGTTTTGGTTTCTTTTTTCGCTTTTTTTATTTTTTCGTTGTTTTTTGTTTATTTTTTTTTGTTTTTTTTTTGTTATTTTTTAGTTTTTTGTTTACTTTTTGTTATTTTTTAGTTTTTTTTTTGTTTTTTGTTTGTTTTGTTTTGGTTTCTTTTTTCGTTGTTTCTTTGTTTATTTTTTTAATGACCTATAGGAGAGTCTGCTTTGTTATAAAACAAAAAGTACCTATATGATTTGCATAATTTTGCTCAATACTCAATCTGGAATAAGATTGATATAAATTTTCTAATTTTCTAGTATTTTTGTATATAAAAATTGAATATTGCGTCTCATTTTGTTTCTGTTCTTTTTTTAATGACCTATAGTAGAGTTTGCTTTAATATAAAGCAAAATATACCTATATAATTTGCAAAATTTTGCTCAATATTCAATCTGGAATAAGATTGATATAAATTTTCTCATTTTCTGTTATTTTTTGTACGTAAAGATTGGATATTGCGCCTCATTTTATTTTTGTTCATAGAAGAGATGAAAAATGGCAACAACACTCGCTGCACTCTCCGAGTTCTTCATCCATAAAAAGTTTCGATATCCAGGTGGCCAATTGGCGGATAAAAACGCTCGGGCGGGATTCCGGTTCTTCGTCCGAGGAGGAATTCTTCGATTGCGAAGAAATGGCGGACGCTTCGTTGGCCAAATGGAGCTCTTTGGAATTGCTTCAAGAAGAAGATCTGGACGCCACGTCTCCTACTAGCTTGATGGCGGATAATCAATGTATGTAAATTTTTTTGTATTTGATTTACCGGACTATGAAAATATAGTCCTATATTTTCATAGTCCGGTAAATAAAATAATGGTATTTTTAATGGCATGATAGACATGGAAAAGTTTGAATTTTAATTAATGTTCTTTCTCAAAAACAAAACCAGATACGAAAAAAAAATCTACTGGGACTTTTTATTTTCATACATTCCTTGTATTTCGAAAATTAAGTGATTCCAGTCTTTTTTCCTATTTTTACGGCATGAAATACCCTGTTTTTAATACAGATTTTCATATTTATATGAAATTCTGTGTCTGAATACGGAATTCCAGGTTTGAATACGGAATGGAATTCCAGGTTTGAATACGGAATTTCGTGTTTTAATAAAGAAATTCTGTGTTCAAACACAAAATTCCATATTCGAACAAAATTCTGTATTTTAACAAGAAAATATGAAATTCCATGTTTGAATACTGATTTATATGTTTGAATGCGGAATTCTGTGCTTAAATGAGGAATGTCTTTATTTGTACTCGTAATTTCTTTATTTGAACAAAGAAACATGAAATGTCTTAATATAATTCCATGTTGAAAAACAGAATTTCCTGTTTAAATATGGACAATGTAATGTTTTTGGATACGAAATTCCGTATTTGAATACAGAATTTCGTGTTTAAATATGGAATTCCGTGTTTGAATAAGGAATTTTCGTTTTTGAACACGGAAATTCTTTATTGGAACACGGAATTCCGTATGTGAACCTAGATTTTTGGTTTTACTTCTTCTAAACGAAATTTCTTGTTTGATTACAAAATTCCATGTTTGAATATGAAATTCCGTGTTAGAATAAGGAATTTTCTTGTTTGAACCTAGAATTTCTTTATTCGAACACGGAATTCCGTATTTAAACAATGAAATATCCTAATGTAATCACGAAATTCCATGTTGAAATACAGAATTTCCTGTTTAAATATGGACATTGCAATGTTTTTGGACACGGAATTCCGTATTTGAATACAGAATTCCGTGTTTGAATATAGAATTCCGTGTTTGAATAAGGAATTTTCGTTTTTGAATCCGAAAATTCTTTTTTCGAACAATGATTTATGGATTTCCTTGTTCTAAACAGAATTTCTTTATTCGAACACTGAATTCCGTATTTTAACAAAGAAATATGAAATGTCCTAATGTAATCACGGAATTCCATGTTGGAATACAGAATTTCCTGTTTAAATATGGACATTGCAATGTTTTTGGACACGGAATTCCGTATTTGAATACAGAATTCCGTGTTTGAATATGGAATTCCGTGTTTGAATAAGGAATTTTCATTTTTGAACCCTAAAATTCTTTTTCTAAACACGGAATTCCGTATTTGAATACAGAATTCCGTGTTTGAATATGGAATTCCCTGTTTGAATAAGGAATTTTCATTTTTGAACCCGAAAATTCTTTTTTCGAACACGGAATTTCGTATTTGAACAAAGATTTATGGATTTTCTTGTTCTAAACGGAATTTCTTGTTTGATTACAAAATTCCATGTTTGAATATGAAATTCCGTGTTCGGATGAGGAATTTTCTTATTTTTGAATACGGAATTCCGTGTTCGGATGAAGAATTTTCTTATTTTTGAATACGGAATTCCGTATTTGAACAAAGAAATATAACATTCCGTGGTAAAATAAGGAATTCCATTTTTAAATAAAAAGTAATATTTAAATAGTCCAGTAAACATCTATAATTTTTCTTAAACAGCCGAAGACAGCATATTTTCGCCGACTTACCTGAAACGCGTCGCCAGCGAAAGAACCAACAGACGACTAATGGCCGCCAGAGGTAAAATCAACTCCTTGGAAGCTCCCTGTCCGGAGTCGCCGACCGCGTCTTCCGGTAACAATCCTTGCAGCACCACAGTACTAATGCTGATATTAAACGCCGGCAGCGTTCTAGGTCAGTTTCGTATCGAAAATGGCGATTTAGACTAACAGCAAATATTCGTTTTCCGCATTTGAAAAATTAAAAGAAATGTATTGTCACCACACAAATATGTCCATTGGACATTTATTAAATATACATTTTTGGATGTATAAACCAGCCATACACCATTATGGTTTATTAAATTTAATATTCGTTTGGCCCCACTCTGCATGCTCAACTTTTGAAACATTTAAGTTCTGACCCTCAAATGACTATTTCAATGCTTTCTATTTGTCCAATTTGGAAATCGAATGTTTGCGGCCAGTTTAAACAACAGAAAAATTAAGCAATTTTTTTTTTTTAATTATAGATGCGAACGTCGATTTGGCGGCCAAAAAATCCGACATAACGACGTTCAAAGGCGCATTCGAATCGGTCATGCGTCAACATTACCCTTCCCTGATAGGTCACATAGCGATACGACTAGTGTCTTGCCCATCCATTTGCACTGAGGGTTTAGGAATTTTATCAAGGTAAAAATCTGCATTTTTTTTTGAAAATGACAAATATTGTATTGCTTTCGGTTTTTAGCCTCAGCCCTTACAGTTTCGACGTATCTCCATCTTGCACGGACGTACCGCAAATCACCCACGATTCTATTCCTATCGGTGCTATACCCATTTTGGCCACGTCTACAGCCGAGTATATAGAGGCCGTTTCGAGGACAATCAGTGCAGCGAACGCTGCTTATCAAGGTATCGATTTTCGTGTATGCCCCACGTTGGGCGCCATTTATTTAATAAAAATTGAAATTTTATACATTATTTTGCAGAGTTTGTAAAGTCTGATGAAGGTCAAGGTTTCGCGGGTCAAGTTTGCTTCGTCGCAGACTCGATGGGTTCGATATTGGGCTACGATTCTCTTTGTCGCACCTTCAAGTACGCTTCGAGGCACGGCAGCGAAAATAGCATTCTCGATACGGATTTCCAAAAAGGTAACAAACGTCATTGTTATATATTCAATAGAATCTTACACATACTAAATATAATATTAGTCATTAGATATTTATGAACTTTTAGTCATGGTAATTTATAATAAATACATCGCTTCATTGCTTCAAAAGAGACACAACTCAAAATTAACAACGCAAAATTAACACCAATTAATATCTTGCATATGATTAGTAAACCACCCTTCAATGAACAAAATTGTTTTATCTTGGCTTAGTACAGACTTGTTTCGATGATGCTTGTTATTTTTGGGATTTTTATGTAGGATTGTTCACTAATTTATTATATTTTAACTAGAAATATGTTAATTTTGAGTTATGTCACTTTTGGTGCAAGAGTGCGACATGAATAAGGTGATATTATACTTTCAATTAATATATAATAGTCATGCGCAGACTTTTTTTATCGGATAACGATGTCCGCCGTTTTGTTTAGGTATAGATGACGTGCACATCAACGAAACCGGGCATCTTACGGCCCCGTCGCCTAGAAGAAGATCGTCGTCTACCAGTGAACAATCTCAAATGAAGTTAGACTTTGACGTTACCGATTTTTTCATGTTCGGCAGTCCCTTGGCCTTGGTCCTCGCTTATAGAAAAATTTCGTCACAAGACGACAAATCTAGTAAGTCGAATTTACGAAATAATTTTATGTATTACCAGATTATATTTTATTTTTTTTTTATAATTATTATGTATTTGTATTAGCAAATTCCTAAATAAAGAACTACCGATCAGAGAACATAAAAATCATTAAATCTACAATAATTACGACAAAAAAACTCGGTAATAAACAACAACCAGAAAATACATAAATGTCAATGACTCCAGAAAAATTTTCATAATACTGACTCTCCGAAAAAATTTACCGCAGCTAACGTGTTAAAAATCATAAATTAACTAATTACAAAAACAGCAATCAAACATAAATCATAATATGTTATTAAATATATATTTTGTTCGATGATTTCTCGAGCAAATTGTCAAATTTTATACATAACCTCTACATCTGCAATTAATGAAACATTCTATGGCAATCTCTAGACAGTTCGGGTTCGAATACAAATAAGAATCATTTATCTTGAAGATCATTCACGGTTCAATCACAAATAGGAGTCACGAATGAGAGTTATGAATAAGAATTCCGAATCACCTGGTTAAATAATGTTTAGGGATTGATGTACCTCTGCAGTTTGGGACGAAGGAAGAAATACCTGATTTTTACCTTTAACTTACCATACCGTATATTACCTTATTTACTACACAGATAAATGCAATTAATCTAATCAATAAATTGTTTTAAATTTGAATTGTGTACAAACTTATGTGAATTAGAATTTGATATCTACCTTATCTAAAGCATTTTTTTAAGTATAATTTGTTAGTAATTTTCTATATTTTTATCACTAATGTAGTGTTAAGTGTATAAGCTTTAAATATAGTGGTGCCCAACTTCTTTTTCAAAGTTAGAGTTATATAAAAACCTAACCCACGCCCTATAAATTGAGCTCAAACACAAACATCAAAGTAGATAAATTAACCAACTAGTCATGTTACACACTTCCAAGGTTAAATTTATTTAAAACAATTTTTATTTCCAATAAAAGATAAATGATGAAACTTTTCAACTATTAAGAAAAAGAAAAAATACAGAAATTACAATTTTGGTTAACTGAAACGTGTCATCCCAAAAAATACCCTAAAAGTTTATACAAATAAATCGTAAATTGCTTAAAACAAAAAATATTAATATCAACGCTTACCATATTATATCGATGGCTTTTAATCCAAAAAAGAATTAATTAATCAAAGAAGGCCAGGAAAATTAATGTTAAACCCCTTAGATCTATTTTATAAAATGACAATTTCACAAATAGTTATCGATTCACAAAACACAAAATTGTGTCCTTAATTAGAAGTGGAAAAAAAAATAACGTTACCATAAATATACTGTTACACCTTATGTCTTCATATTTGCCTACTGTTCCCTATCGTCTACTTCTTTTTTCTTAAGATGGCTTTCACCGTTTTTCTAGATGCTTCCCAAGCGTTTGCATCCGAAATCAGTACTTCCCCTAGCTTCTCGTCTTTTGACACCAGTCCCATCATGGCCCATCATGACGTTACTGTATGCGTTGCGCACAATAAGGGGATTTTAGTGATTTTGTTTGTTTCACGGATATGTTTACTAGTTGCATCTCTTTTTAGCTAGAGGCTTTCGCGAAAGCATCTCACTCCCTTAGGCTCACTCAGAAAAGTGAGCCAAAGAGACGCGATTAGCCAGAGCGCAGTGGCGTTCCAAATATAGAGATTAACACGTATGAAAACAATAAAATTATTAAAATTGAATTAATATTTTTGTTATTTATTTTAAAATAATGTGTTTTTATGAAATGTAACTGAATATTCACTGCAAAAATGAACCAATGGAGAAACCGCTCCTGGTTATGGGTGAAACCTGAAACTTAACCAAAGAATTCAAAAAACAATTGAATCGGTGAATGGAAAAAGGATAATATTCCAAAATCTTAATTTTTGGGAAATTAAAAAAACTGTTTTACAGCTTCATTTTTAATGTATTAACTTGTAATGCTATATAAAAGTATTTTATAGTCTATTTTTATGTATGAGAGAGTATTAAAATAATAAAGCGTTCGTAATCCATAGGCGTACCACTTCTTTTAGTAGACAGTTAAAATATTTTTTGAAGTTATTCCTCGAGTATACACTTATATTTTCACCTAATTAACCTGCTTATAACTTCTAAACAGCTGAAGGTAAAAAAGTGCAAATGTTTTATTTTTCCACACGGTATGTTAAGAACATTGTGTCAAACAGTTTATGTGGGTATAAGGGTTTAAACTTTGACTTTTAAACAACGTTACGTTCATAAATAATAATTTTAATATAAAAACTACTTCTTACCTACAAATCCAAATCAGAATCGAAATCAGAAGATGAACTGTCGCAACCAATATTTACAATGAGTGGCTCGATCATTTCATCAGTAATATTGTCCAACTTCCACATTTTCTCTTCTTCTTTAATCGTATTATTTACTGCCTTTTCCCAGTTTTCAGGCTTCACATTATTTACAGCCTCCAAAAACAACTGTTTAACATCACTCATTTTAAAAGAATTATTTTTTCTTGAAACTTCGCCCTTTATCTGTGCCCATATCAGTTCAATCGGGTTTACTTCGCAATGATATGGTGGTGATCTAACCACCGTCATCCCACGATTTTTTGCAATTTCATCAATTTCATATTTTTTAAATTTCTCTTTATGAAGGGAACACAAATGATACAGTTCTTTTCTCACAGATCCGGGATGGAACTTAATATTCTTTGAATTTAGCCAATTCTGTAAATATTTTTTTAACCACTTGGTTGTGGGCATTTTTTCTATAAGTATCGAGTGATAACTTGCATTATCCATTACTATTATATAGTTCTAAGGAAGAAGATCTATAATTTGTTCGAACCACTCTTTAAAGACATCAGCATTCATGTCCTCATGGTAGTCACCGGTACGAGTAGATTCAAAAGTCAATAAACCACCTTTAACAAAACCGTTTGAACTACCGATGTGTACTATTATTAGTCTGCGCCCCTTTTCTGATGGTGGATTTAAACCAGTAGATAAATTATTTAAAAATTTTCAACAAAATATCGGTAGGAAACTTACCTTTTTAAAATCAGACGGTCATTAAAAATATTAAAGACAATTAGTACATCGGATGTCCAAGATAAAAGATAATTAAAATTCAATAATTCAACTTGCTCGATGACAGATACAAATCGAAATGAATTACCCTTTTGACATAAGGCATAAACGACAAATGACATTTGTGTAGAGATGTTGGTGTCAAAATAACGAAAACGGTTACAACCGTTACACAGTTTGACCCCGTTGTTTTAGCTTCAACTAATTCCTTTAATAGTGACGAATTCTTCCCCCCTTGCTCCTGGCCAATTTCTCTTTTTCTTTGCTATCTTCTGACTTCTTGATTTTACATTTCTTTCTCCTAGGTTCATCAATCTCTTGTTCATCGAAATCTGACATCTTATTCAAAAAACTTTATCACATAAAAGGAAGAAAAACTTGCAAATACTCTCACAATAACTGTTCACAAACAATCTGTAATCTTACATAACCTATAATAATCATAAAGTGATTTTAGACAGAGTAACTAGCGCTGTATGCGTGAGATAAAGAAACAGCTTGCTCTCTGTGAATCACATTGAGTGGAAAACAGATAACATTCCTGGAATATGTTCCTTTTTCCACTCAACTGTATTTTTAACATATCGGTTGCACATATGAGGAATATTATCCTTCTTTCGGTAAATCAATAAGCCGATATAAATTAAACACATTTGCTATTATCCTTTTTCAACTCACCGATTCAATTGTCATTAAGAATTTATAATTTTTTTTTAAATCAAATCTACCAGGTTTGGTTTTTCTCATGTGTACAAAATAACCGATTAAACATATTAAACCACCTGAATTCGTTCAGTTTATTTGAAAGATGATCTCTAGATTCTAATGAAAAAACGGATAAATTTTAAAGAATTTATGGCACTTTTTACATCAAATTATCCCTAAAATCGTTGATAATGTTCGGTAACGAAGTTATATTTTTTTTGCAGACAATATAACCCGTCCAGTATGTCTTCAAGTATATAATTTGTTCCATCCAACCGATCCTGTAGCGGCCAGATTAGAACCGTTACTATCAGCCCGATTTTCAATGCTACCTCCCGTTAATATCTCCAGATACGCCAAGTATCCATTGGGGAACGGACAACCTTACCATTTGGGTAAGATACCGATTTTTGACTACGAAACTTTGTAAATTGTAAAATTTTACCAAAAAAAATAACCTTCAACTTGAAATGGACGAAGATAATTGTCGCGTGACATCTGTCAACTGTCTATAGACATATCTTCATCCATTTTTTATTATTATTTATTGTTGTACTTAATCTTATTTCGAATACATCCAACTCATAATCTCTATTAACATTAATTAACATTTCTTTCCTCTTTTTGTCGGTATTTTTAGTTGAAATTCTCCAATCTAACCCTCAAATGTTTAGCGATTCAAACCAACCTAGACGTTTATCTGAGGTCTCGATACAAAGCACTCTATCGGGACTTATTGATAATATTCCTCTACAAGCGATCAGTGCTTGTAAGTACCCAACCTTCTATAACAAAATGTCTTGCATGTGATTATTTATTTCTTAGATTGTTTTGCATGGTTTCCGTTTTATTTTAATACAATTTTTATTGAGTTGAGTACGAAGGTGTAAAGTAATTGGACTTTTGTTTATCACAAAGTGAATTTGCGAGAAATAAAGGATTTTTTTCTTTATACCTTCGTACTCAATCCTAACCACTTAGATATGGTTATCCTCACCCCTAATTTTAATAAGTTACTGTCATTTGTTTCTTGTCAATTGCTATGTGTCTCTTGTCAATTGCTATTTGTCTCTTGTCAATGGCTATTTGTCTCTTGTCAATGGCTATTTGTCTCTTGTCAACTGCTATTTGTTTCTTGTTAACTACTAATTTTCACCTATCGATTGTCGTTTGGCAAATTCATATAATAAAAATTGAACATATCGATAGCTAAGAGGACAAATGTATGTCCACAAATTTAATTTTGAGTAAGTTCTATTTAAAAGTTAGAGGTAACATTGGCACACTGCATAGTTTGTCTTAGTAATACCTAATTAACTGGCAAACTGTTTCAAGTCGATATTTGGGGATCGTAAAGATTTAATTTCGAAAGACTTAAGCAAACATGGACTTACTATATTTGTTTTCTTAGATCCATGCGCAGCGCTAGTCGTTAAGAAATAAGCGAAGTTTAAAATGACATTTTTCTATTAAAAATGTAATCTTAAGCTTCGCTTCTATCGATATAGCGTTAAAAACATGTTTAAACCGAAAATAATCCGTAATTTCTTAGTACAACACAAATGGTGGGGTAACAAGCGGATGGACTACGCCCTCTACTGTCCGGAAGGTCTATCGAACTTCCCCACTAACGCTCTGCCGCATTTGTTTCACGCCAGTTACTGGGAAAGTTGCGATGTCATTGCTTTTATATTGAGACAGATCGGCGGTATCGAAGTCACCTCTTTGCCGGGCGATAACGATAGAGAGCAGACGTTCAGACCGGGTCAGCCTAGAGAAAAATGGATCAGGAAGAGGACGTCTGTCAAATTGAAGGTACAAGCTAATAGTAGTACTATAGTCTATTTTTATGTATGAGAGAGTAATAAAACAGCATTTCTAATACAAAACTTAGTACGGTTATTTTAAATATTTTTACAGAATAATCTAAATATTTCCTAAAATTGTAATAAATGTACCTAAGCTATTACAAGTTTTGGGTCTTTTATTGGTCCTTTATAAACATAAGCTGTACAGAACAATAGAAAAAGATTTGGACAGGCCAAAAGCCCTGTGTATTAAATATTACATAGCCGTATCTTAAGATTATTTTCAATAAGTACCTATTTGCCAATTTTGTTTTATTTTAATTCCAAGAATTTCTTACAGTAATCGAATTATAAGTAGATAAATACCTTCCCAACAAATTTCACCGAAAATGCGATTATAGGTTTTCCATTTAGTAAGGAGGTCCAAGTTGTGTATTCTTGACAGTTTACTAAATGTCGTTTAGTTGCAACTTGCAAGGTGCAGTGTGAATTCTAGTGTGATCATGGAAAATTTGGAATGGCCGCGTAAACGACAAAAAATTGGTCCTTTAACAGTTAATGAAAAAACATTAATATTTAATTGTTTTAAATCATTTACAGACAAACATTTATGTAAAAGTGTTGATGACACAGTGGAATTAGTTAGTAGTACGCTTGGTGTTGGGAAATCTACGATTTACAGCACGTAAAGCTCCAGGAAAACCAAAATTTCAATTAGAAAATCTTTTAAAAGAAAGACTTCGAAGGAAAGTGCATGCGTTCTTCTTTAGAAAAGAATTTCCGATAGTAGACAAAGTTCTTGCCACGGTTCGAGATGATAAGGATTACCCTGAAATGAGTCGAAGCACACTATGGAAACTTTTAAAAGAAATAGGTTTTCTATGGAAAAAGCATTCCAGAAAGTCTATTTTAATAGAAAGAAGCGATATTGTAGTATGGAGAAGAAATTACCAGAGGACTATAAAAGAAATGAGAAACCAAAGAAGAAATATATTTTATTTAGATGAAACATGGATCAACGAGGGACATAAACCAAATAAATTTTGGCAAGATGAAACTGTTACAAGTCGAAGACAGGCTTTTTTAAATAATTTATCTACTGGTTTAAATCCACCATCAGGAAAGGGGCGCAGACTAATAATAGTACACATCGGTAGTTCAAACGGTTTTGTTAAAGGTGGTTTATTGACTTTTGAATCTACTCGTACCGGTGACTACCATGAGGACATGAATACTGATGTCTTTAAAGAGTGGTTTGAACAAATTATAGATCTTCTTCCTCAGAACTGTATAATAGTAATGGATAATGCAAGTTGTCACTCGAGATTTATAGAAAAAATGCCCACAACCAAGTGGTTAAAAAAAGATTTACAGAATTGGCTAAATTCAAAGAATATTAAGTTCCATCCCGGTTCTGTGAGAAAAGAACTGTATCATTTGTGTTCCCTTCATAAAGAGAAATTCAAAAAATATGAAATTGATGAAATTGCAAAAAATCGTGGGATGACGGTGGTTAGATCACCACCATATCATTGCGAAGTAAACCCGATTGAACTGATATGGGCACAGATAAAGGGAGAAGTTTCAAAAAAAAAATAAATCTTTTAAAATGAGTGATGTTAAATAGTTGTTTTTGGACGCTGTAAATAATGTGAAGCCTGAAAACTGGGAAAAGGCAGTAAATCATACGATTAAAGAAGAAGAGAAAATGTGGAAGTTGGACAATATTACTGATGAAATGATCGAGCCACTCATTGTAAATATTGGTTGCGACAGTTCATCTTCAGATTTCGATTCTGATTTGGATTTGTAGGTAAGAAGTAGTTTTAAATTAAAATTATTATTTATGAACGTAACGTTGTTTAAAAGTCAAAGTTTAAACCCTTATACCTACATAACCTGTTTGACACAATGTTCTTAACATACCTTGTGGAAAAATAAAACATTTTAGAAAAAATTGCACTTTTTTACCTTCAGCTGTTTAGAAGTTATAAGCAGGTTAATTAGGTGAAAATATAAGTGTATACTCGAGGAATAACTTCAAAAAATATTTTAACTGCATTAAAAGAAGTGGTACGCCTATGGATTACGAACGCTTTATTATTTTAATACTCTCTCATACATAAAAATAGACTATAGTAATAGTAATTTATTCACATAAAACAATAAATACATACTTACATAAAACTTGTAATACAAAATTAAATAGTATGTGAATAAAAGAAAATTTACGGGCATAAAATGGCTGTACACATAGTAAAATGTAAAATATGTTTTTATGATTTTCTTATTTTTTTGCGTTTTTTTATATTTCTTTACAATTTTTATAATAAAATGTAGTTATATTTTTATACCTTATTTAACAATTTTTTATTTCTTCTCTCGTTAGTTGAATTGTACTGTTATAAATAAACTTTCAGAACGTCACCGCAAATCATCGAGCCAACGACGTGATAGTCCGCGACAGCGCTCCCCAAACGGTAACGGCGAGATTCATGTACGGGCCTTTAGACATGATAACGTTGACGGGCGAAAAAGTCGACATACACGTCATGAAGGACGCTCCGTTAGGCGAGTGGCTCCATCTGGCCACCGAAGTCACCGACAAGACTGGAAGAGTAACCTTTACTATTCCGGAAGAGAAATCTTTGGGTTACGGGTTGTATCCTATCAAGGTAAGGATTATCGTCAAAATATTTCATCCAGAGATATAACCATTCATTGATAAAATATAATATTCACGGTGCCAATATTAATTCGACAATCGATACACTCTCTTTGTAGGGACGCGGCGAGGAGAAATAAGAGAGGGGATAAAGAGAAGAATTTTACAGAGATAAAACTTATTTTTATCAATGAATAAATGTGTAAACCTCTGTGCGCTTATAATAAACAACGTAAATGAGAAATTTATATTTTGGGGGATACGCTTTCTTAAATTTTATTCGTTTCGACTTGCGTTGCGAGATTTTCTCTGATTTTTATGTATGCACTCCTAATTCATCAAATTGGTTCGTATTTTTAAGCCATATATTTTGTTGACTTATAGATGGTCGTGAGAGGTGATCATACAGCTGTAGATTTCTTTTTGGCCGTGGTTCCACCAAAAACGGAATGCATCGTTTTTAGCATAGATGGTTCGTTCACTGCCAGCGTCTCTGTTACCGGCAGAGACCCCAAGGTCCGCGCCGGAGCCGTAGATGTCGTTCGGTAAGTAATTTTGTGCAGCATTTACAGGAGCAGCTAAACACAGGCAAAGATTCCATTGCCGCTATATCTGTGCGAATGCAGAAATAACAAAATTATTCTGAATTAAGAAAATAATGTCGCAATAAAGTTTTTGATTTGTAATAAAATATCTAAAAGCTATGAATGTATTTCAAAATAAAAATGTAGCTTATAATATTACTATTTACTTGTCACATGCCTATATTTAGCTGTTTCCAGCATTTATTGTCATTTTATTGATTTGACGTTGACAGTAATGGAGGAGGAGGTGTTGCTATATATATAAGAAGCATTTTCAATGCCAAAATTATAAACAATTTATCCATTAATAGTACAGAACAGGTTTGGGTGACTTTTTGTGTTGAAAATGTTTCTTACGCACTTGGTTCCCTTTACAGACCTCCTAAATCTTCTCCTATTAATTTCATTACAGCGCTTGAAGATGTTCTTAATAACATAGTTCCCCAATATAATCACGTAATTTTTGCCGGAAACTATCTTGATTCAGAAAATAATTCATGTTCGTCACTTTTATCTGTTCTTGATATGTTCGAACTGAATCAAATTATTAATCAACCAACCCATATTAGTCCTACATCCAGTACGCTTCTCGACTTAATATGTCTATCAAATGAGCTAATAAGTGATAATGTGGCAACAATGGACTGCTCGACATTCACTAATCATCATCTCGTTTCTTGTTGTATTAACACCAAAAAGATTAAGATTCATCCAAAAACGTACACTTATAGAGATTTTCGCAATTTTAACCACGATAGGTTTGTTCTAGATTTAACTATGGCAAATCTCAATCATATATACATGCTTAATAATGTCGATGACATGATTGAATACTTCAATGATACCTTGGTTTTTTTATTTAATAAACATGCTCCCTTAAAAACTGTTAGAATTGCAAACAAACCTGCCACCTTGGCTTACTGTTAACTTAAAATTTATGATGTCTTTACGTGATAAAGCTCTGGCTAAATTTAAAAAAACCAAGCAGATTATACATTTCAACTATTATAAAGATTTAAGAAATCTTACAAACAGGACAATAAAATTGGAAAAAAAGCCTATTTCGAATTTCAAATTAGAACACAAAGTAAAAATAACATCTGGAAACAGCTGAAAAAACTTGACGTTTATAATAAACAAACTATTGTTAATTATACTATTTTAATTTTGTAATTTTCACATGCCAATAAAACATATTTATTTATTTAATATGTTGAATGTTCCATGTTACTTTAATTTAATTTGGTGGTTAATAGAGACTTTTATTATTATAATTATATATGGTTTTAATGTTTTGTTCGCAGGCATTGGCAAGAGCTGGGTTACTTGATCGTTTATATAACTGGAAGGCCGGATATGCAGCATAGGAGAGTGGTATCGTGGTTGTCTCAACATAATTTCCCGCATGGGCTGATTTCGTTCGCTGATGGTCTATCGACTGACCCTCTTGGACACAAGGCCGCTTATCTCAATAATCTGATAGAGGTTAGATATTTAGAACATCAAATTTATTCCTAGACCCCAATTCATATATATTTAAATTATAATAGTTAAATATATACAGTGTGTCCCAAAAAAGTTTATACAAAGTTTATCTTACATTTCCCAAAAAAATGTTAGAAATAAATGTTGAAAATATAGGGTATACAGGGAAAATAAAAATAATTTAAAATGAAGATTAAAATACTTTTTACTAATTTTGATACATAAAGTGACATTGTTTGTAATCGCAGCAGGTGTTAGAATGATCTACTTTATTAGTAATTAAAGCCCTTGTTATAAAAAGGATGCATGCTACAATTTGTCGTGAAGTGATTGCTTTAGCTCAAAACATCTATTAACAAGGATACAGGCCATATACAATTTATTTTACCTCTATTTCTGATTAGAGGCACTATTTTTCATAATATTTATATTTAAATTTTTTTTTACTTATATTTGACAGATTTAAAACTTAATTTTCTCAAAACTTACAATGTGGCATGTAACCTTATTACGCCAAGGTCATCAATTAATAACTTAGATGTCATATTTATTTATATAATTATTTATAGTCTCACGGGGTCGTTATTCATTCGGCGTACGGCAGCGCCAAGGACATTACCGTTTACACCTCACTCGGGCTGAAACCGAAACAGATCTATATAATAGGCAAGGCGACGAAGAAGCAGCAATCGCAAGCGACGATTTTAACCGAAGGATATGCCGCTCATTTATCGATGCTGATGTCGCACGGCGGTTCGAGACCGGCTCAAGGGAATGCCAGGATGGTCATACCGAGGGGTCATTTCGGTCTGCCGGGGCAATCGTTTTCGAGACGAAGGAGGTGAGTTTTCTTTTCTCGCAGGAAATTTTCAATTTTTTATGAAATGGGTTTGTCCGAAGAAAGTGTATTGTGTCTATATTGTTACAAAATTAAAAATTTGAAAAAAAATCATTAAAAGTAGGTAATGTTTAAAAATTAATGAATAGGTATTTAATTTAAAATTAATTTTTGAAATGATAAAATAAATTGTGTAAAAACAGTGGGAAAAAGCTACTAAAAATAAATGATTTTGACTAGATTTATTTTACCTTCATATTAAATTTCGTCAATGATAAGTTTAAAGAAACTGCAAAAATTAGTTATTAATTGCAAGCGACTTCTATAAGTTCAAAGGAACGTGAGGCCGAGTACCAATTGGACAAGTGAGGTTTTAATTTATTAAACATATACCAAAGAATGTCTTTAAAGAGGAAAATTAAAAACGTACAGTCAAATGGTAAAAAATTAGAAAACAAAGAAATAATAGCTTAGAAATGATTTAGGGCAAGAGATTAAAGAATTAAAACAAGAAAATTTTAATTTAAAATCGGAATTAAATCAACTAAAAGGAAGAGTGCAATGGAACGAAAGAAAGGGAAATAAATTTAATCTTGTGATATACGGCCTAAAGGAAGAAGAAAACGAATTAGAAGATATAAATATTTTGTTAGAATTGATAAATAATAAATGTGAAGTTGACAGCAGATTTCAGGATATAAGAGATTTATACCGGATTGGCAAAATTAAAAAAAAGGGGCAACTAACAGCAATTTTAGAAAACCTGTCAATTTCAAGGGATTACAAACAGGAGGAATACAAAATCAGGAAAATTCTACATAAACATCTAAAAAAGACAAGACAGAACAAGTGCGAGGCAATTATTAAAAAGAATAAACTACATAAAAATAATAAAATATACACGGCTGCAGATCTTAAAGTATTTACTAACGCAGATTTCGCTGCAGAATTAACTACAAGTACTACAAAGCCAAAAGAAGAAAAAATGAGAAACCACACGTATCTGATAATTTAATAAAAAGAACAACTGGATAAAATAGTCAAAATACGCTCACTCAGATAAAATAAATTACAATAAATTATAATGAAGAAAATCTAAAACAAGAGTACTTAAATTATAAAAAACCTTAAGAAAACTAATTAAACAAGACTAAATTACTACTGAAACCGTATTCAAAACGATAGGAATTCAAAAAAATTGTGGAATACCATTAATGAATTCTTAACAATACCAGAAAAAATTCCAATAAATTTTATTAAAGAAAGTAAAGACAAATTCATTACTGAAATAGCCGAGACTTTTTATGAATATTAGATTAGATTAAACAATTTTTTTGATTTAGATAAACACAAATTACTATCAGCAGCACAATACGGATTTAGACCAAACATGTCTACTCAATACGTTATTAAAGTATTAACTAAAAATAGATATTTAGCAAAAGCTTTTGATACCATTGATCATAACATCCTTCTTAATATATTATATGACATGGGTATAGGGGGTATTCCACATGAACTTTTAAAAAGTTACTTAAGAAATAGAAAAGAAAAGTAAAAATAGGTGACATGTTGAGCCAAGAAAAACTATTACTTGTGGAGTACCGCAAGGGCTGTGCTATTACCTATTCTTTTTAATACTTAAATAATCTATTCCTGATAGAGATAAATTGCAAAATAATTAGTTTTGCTGATGATACGGTATTGTTTTATGAAGATAGTAACTGGTATACCCTAAAGATAAAATTAGAACAAGAAAAAATAAAGATGTGGTTTGATCATAGCCTCTTGTCATTACTTTAAAAAAACATTACATACCATTTGGTTCTTCTGGATTATAATCTAATTGTTGGAAATACGTTTCCCATTACACTTGTAAGAAAAATAAAATACCTTGGAATTATATTAGACCATAACTTAAGATGGGATCAACACATATAATATATCTTAAAAAAAAACTTAGTTGTGTTCTATACAAATTTAAATAAATATGTTTTATTCTTGATTTTAAACAAAAAATAATTTTATACAAGAGTTTAGTCGAATCACATCTTAATTATGGGATAATAGGATGGGGTGGCGTATCCAAAACTTACCTTTCATCACTTGAAATATTTCAAAAACGATTTATTCGAATCATTCTGCAGAGGGGTTATGGATGTCCAACAAATTTGTTATATAGTGAGAGTGGTATATTTGTCTTATACAGCTATATTTTATAAACACAGGTATTGCCCAATATAACGACAAAGTGGAACTTAAAGCTTTAAGCCACGAGTAACAAACATACGTTCCACCTTATATGAAAAAAGCTATTGGACAAAAATCTTATACCTTTTTAGGTCCTAAAATTTATGACTAACTACCCTGTGATATTAGAAACGAAATTCAATTTCCGTTATATAAAAAGAAAATTAAAAAAATTATGTTGAACATGCCACATGAATTTGCACATGAAATCATTGAAAATTAAAATTTATGTTTAAAATCCTTTTGTATATATACTATATTATTTTTGTTGCTTACATTAATTTAGATAGTAAGGTTTTATATTTTTATGTAAGTTTTTGTATACCTATTATGTAAAAAAAATGTATAGTATGCCACATACAAGTAACTTTAATTTACTTCGTGGTATTCATCTTATTTATTGTATTTCCGTTTATTTGTTGTTATCAATTTATATTTAATATATTACAATCTAATTACCAGATAAATGGCTGATCGTCACAATTTCCTCTATAATATTTTTTACTTACCATACTTAACGATTTACCCTAAAATAAATGTCTATAAACATAGTTTTACGTTATACATACATACTGGGTGTTTTAGAACTAAATACAGTAATTTTATCCATTAATAGAACTCATAACGCGTAGTAGCTTTTTGAATTACTTTTCCTAAACCATACATTTATACAGTGCATTCGGATATTCGATCGACAATGCTTAGGTTTTTTTTTTAGAAACCCTTGTAATTTTATAGGGTTCACTCATTAATAATGGTATTATTGAAACGTACGAAAACTTCGAGAAAAATATTTATAGGTAATTGGTGTGTTAAATAACAAGTAAATTGATAATAGATTGGTAAAGAGGTACCTACACTTAAATGAAAAAAAATTATCTTCGCAATACACTTTCTTAGATGCCCGATTTTGTACATATATGCACTAACATTTTTAACTTATAGATTTATTATAATTTAGCTTTTTTTTTAGCGTTGGAAAGTTTTTACAATTATTATTTATATTCTAATTCTGATTCATTTTAAATTCAACAAAATACATAATTAGGAATAACAAAAATCAATTATCACATCATCACTTACTTTATAATAAAAAATATATAGTGTGTCTATCTAAATCAGCACCATATGAAAAAAAAGTTATATTTCATAAAAAGTTCTGCATTATCTAAATCCTAGAATACAACCATTAAAAATAAAAAAATGTTCAGTCATGTACGAGGTTTATAAAAAAAATATGAACTTTATACAAAAATAGTGTACCTTTTTTAAATAATATCGAAAATTATTATTTAGAATTTATATCTTTGTAACGATATTTAATCTAGAATACATTAAAAAACAGTAAATGTCAAAACAATAGTTAAAATTTATAAATAAATAAATTTTGATATGTAAAATTAAATGTAATTCGCATTTATGCCAAAAAGTATTTTAAATAAAAGTATTTGACTTAAGTACATAAAAATCATTTTTTGACCAGCCTCGTATATGACTGAAAAAATGTAATATCTGATATTTGTATTTTAGGTTTTAGATAATTCAGAAGTTTTTATGAAGAATAACTTTTTTGCATAAAACTAATAATAAAACATTTTTCACATGGTGCCGACTTATGTAGACACGCTGTATTTGTTTCTATAAACTAAAATATTTGAGTTTTATAGACATTTTCCAACGTGGAGATAGTTTCATCGATAATACAGATTCCGCACCTACTCATATTAAAAAAAAATATATATATAATAATTTTAAAAACTCTCCTTCATAATCATACGATCTGCATGTTTTGGTAAACTGAATGTTTCAGCCATGATCCAGGCATCTCTTCTCCCGTCCGCAACAGCGGTTTTCTCAAACGAAAGGTTTACATTAGTCATGTCTAAAATCGCTAGTTTCTTATGATGGTAATTATGACACTAACCCCTGCCGCACCGTCTACACGTTCAATGTAGTTCTTCCTATTTGCACATGCGCTGCTGCTGCTGACTCCAGTTTCATTAATAGTAGTGCGCCCCGCTTGTATCGCGAGGCTGTCCCAATCGGCGATTCAATCTAAACAAATTGACAGATGACGTACAGTTGACTACGGAAATGTCAAATATCTATATCTGTCAAATTACAACTAAGGAAAACTGTTTTTTTTTATTAATATAACAATCATTGCTGTATATTTATTTACAAATACAAAACCTAAACAATTTGACAAATGACGTACATTTGACAGCAGAAACTTTAAATGTTTAAATATTTATCTGTATCTATCAAATAATGATTAAGAAAAGCTTTTTTTTATTAAAATAACAAATGCCGTATCTTGATCTATACAATTTGACAGATGACGTACATTTGACATCAGAAACGTCAAATATTTAAATACTATTTATCTGAATATGTCAAATAATGACTAAGAGAAGCTTTTATATTAAAATAACAATTAGTGCCGTATATTTATCTACACAATATAAACAATCTGACAAATGACGTACATTTGACAGCAGAAACGTCAAATATTTCAATACTTATCTATATCTGACAAATAATGACTAAGAAAAACTTTTTTATTAAAATAATAATCTAATCAATTTGACAGATTACATATATTTGACAGCAGGAAACGTCAAATGTCTAAAAAATGTATATGTATCTGTCTAATAATTGTTAAAAAGGCTTTTTTTATTAAAAAAAACAATCAGTCATATATTTATCTACACAATTTAAATAATTTGATATATTACGTACATTTGACAATAGAAACATTAAAATAATGACCAAGAAAAGCTTTTTTTTATTAAAATAACATTCAATGCCATATATGTATCTATATAATCTAAACAATTTGATACAGTACGTACATTTGACAGCAAAAACGTCAAATGTCTCAATATTTATCTTTATCTTTCAAATAATAACTAAGAAAACCTTGTTTATTAAAATAACATTTAGGGCCGTATATTTATCCACACAATGTAAACAATTTGACAGATGGCGTATATTTGACATTAGAAACGTCAAATATTATTTTTGTGAATCTGTCAAATAATAAATAAGAAAAACTTTTTTTTTAATAACAAAAAGTGCCCTATCTTTATGCACACTATAACCAATCTGACAAATGACATACATTTGTCAAATAATGACTAAAGAAAACTTTTTTATTAAAATAATAAAATAGTCAATGTTCTTTATTTATATACATAATCAAAACAATTTGATAGATTACATACATTAGACAGCAAGAAACGTCAAATTACTAAAAAAAGCTTTTTCTGTATGTATCAAATAATGACCAAGAAAAGCTTTCAAATGTCTAAATATTTATCTTTATCTGTCAAATAATGACTAAAAAACCTTTTTTTATTAAAATAACAATTAGCGCCGTATATTTATCCACACAATTTAAACAATTTGACAGATTACGTACATTTGACAACAGAAACGTCTAAAGTGTCTAAAAATGCGTTTGTATCTGTCAAATAATGAACAAAAAATTATATTTTTTGTTAAAATGACGAGCTATGTCGTTTATTTATCTACAAAATCTAAACAATTTGACAGGTTATGTACTTTTGAAAGCAGAAACGTAAAAATGTATCTATTTGTCAAATAATGACTAAGAAAAGTATTTATGACACCAAAACGTCAAATATCTAAATATTTATCTATATCTGTCAAATAATGACTAAGGAAATCTTTTATTTATCATTTACAGTGATTTATAATTATTGACTGATACGTCAATTCGTGTTTTGGTAATCAAATCTATAGACATTTGGCTTCATGAATGTCACACGCCAAGGGTTTCGTTTATTTTAATCTGGGTAATTTATTTGGTTGATATAATGTCATATGTCAAATATTATGGATCTTTAAGGCATTTTTAACTATATACATGTCATTGTACATATCACCAATAGAATTTATTAAATAGTTTACAAAAGAAAGAACCTCGCAATTTCCTTTCTGCTGAATTTTATATATGTTGCGTTTTTGACAAAGCCGTTTGGTCATAAGGAAAGTGCGAGGACCTTTGAGGTTATAAATATGAAATGGTCATTGTTAATATGTTAACACAATCCTCGCCTTGATTAGGTTACAAATTGGATAAATATTTGACGCTATTTGTGTAACATCGAATAATATCTGAGACAATGTAAACGTTATAATATGTCAAACATGTTTGTTGAATTAGGCACTCCAACGACCTGTCAAAATACTGACAAGTGGGAACATATATAGTTATATAGATTGCTCAAAGAGGGCCATATTGCCTGACAAGTAATAATTAATATGAATTGGTTTGACAAAAATGTGTTTACAAATCAATTTTCAGCCTTTGAATATAGTAAAAAAATAATTACCTACATTTTTACTTCAAGGCATATTTTGAAAAACATGGATGATTAATTTATATAACTTATCATTTTATTGACCCTTTCAAAACCCACTGGTAGACATTTTGTTTGGAATGTTTAATAATTTAATTTAGGAAAAAACATTTGACAGAATAAATTCCAAATCAATAAAAAGCAAACGATATACGTCAGACATCTGCGTCATATGTCAAATGTCTACTTCATGTCAGTTTTAAGTCAAATTTCTACATCTTACTATCAAATTGAGATCTTTAAAAAATAATTTAAATATTCATTCATGATATTAGTTAGTTGAGAATATGTATTTGGTATATTGAAGTCTTCTTTTTTATAACAGTGTTTAGATTGAATCGCTAGAAGAGCCATTAAAATCCTACAATAACCTCGCAAAATATTTTCTTTTAGTTTCGACTTTAATTTTTTGAAACTGAAGGAAAAACTTGCGTGATTCAATTAAAACAATATTTTTTTACCATTTATCAGATTACAATAAGATTATTATTAATAATTTAATAAATGGTAAAGAATCATAAATTAAACCATCATAAAATACTAAAGCTAAAAACCATTAAAAAAACTGTTTAAGATTAGATTGATCACAATTATTAAAATAAACATATTCTGTTCTGTAACATTTTTAATATTGTGCCTTTGTCTAATCTGTAAAATTAAACTGACAATATAATAAACAAATAAAAAATAAAAACCGCCGCTTTGCTTTATCTAACAATGAGTATTTAGATATACATAGTGGATTTTTAACAAAAAAAAAAAAAATAATAAACCTAGTAGTTTACAGTGTAGCATAGTCGTATTGGTTTAGAATCGACAGGACAATCAATTTTTTAATTCAAACCTGATTTTCGCATAATTTTTTCTCAAAAATAAAAAATGCGTTTATTTTTTGGATTGTCCTGTTGTCAGATAGCTCTACTTGTTTGGATTTACACGTCAAATGTCTTTTGTTCCATTAGATATAACTGTTTGTTAAAAAAAACTATCGTTCCCAATATCGCCATTTTGACTCGAAAACTCCGGGTTTACATCAAAATTCTTCGGGTCAGTAGTTTTAATTCAAGTGTCACAGAAAGAGCTGCCCATAAGCATCACTCTTCGTGGGAGAACCAGTAAAAATAATAGTGTAAAAATACAATGAAACAAAATCATTCCCGCATTAATGGGTCGATTTTGAGACAATCTATAATATCTGTAAGCCAAAATCTGTAAAAAATTAGATTACATCACAGTTTCCCATAATCCTACCATAAATTGATCTCTTATAAAATTTATCCTGCATTAAAATTAATCCCACATAAAATATATCTCGCATAAAATATATCGCATTAAAATTAAACCCACATAAAATAGCTTTGAATATAATGGTATAATTTACACGTTCCATTAGATCCATTAGTTATAACTGTTAAAAAAAACTATCGTTCCCAATATCTCCATTTTAACTCGAAAACTCCGGGTTTACATCCAAATTCTTCTGGTCAGTAGTTTAATGCAAGTGTCACAGAAAGAGCTGCCCCTTATGCATCATTCGTCGCGGGAGAACACAATAAGAATAATAGTGAAATAATACAATGAAATAAAATCAATCTCGCATTAAATTAATCCCTCGTGAAATTTATCCCGCATTTAAATTAATCCCGCATAAAATATATCCCGCATTAAAAATCAATCTCACATAAAAAATCAATCTCACATAAAATTAATAGCTTTGAATATATTTATATAATTTACATGTCAAATGTCTTTTGTTCCATTAGATATAACTGTTAAAAAAAAACTATAATCCCCAATATCACCATTTTGACTCGAAAATTCCGGGTTTACATCAAAATTCTTCGAGTCAGTAGTTTAATTCAAATGTCACAGAAAGAGTTGCCCTTATGCATCACTCGTCGCGGGAGAACATAATAAGAATAATAGTGTAGTAATAAAATGAAACAAAATCATTCACACACAAAATCAATCCCGCATTAAATGGATCCCTCGTAAAATTTATCCCGCATTAAAATTGACCCCTCGTAAAATTTATCCCGCGTTAAAAAATACATCCCACATAAAATACATCCCGCATTAAAATCGATCCCGCATAAAATATATCTTGCATTAAAATCAAACCCACATAAAATTAATTGCTTTGACTATGTGCCTAGATCAAATATCAGCGACTATTTCTCTAGAGAAATAGTCAATATTTGGTCTAGTGAAATAGGCGTCCTAAATAAACACGGCCTTGAATAATATTCTGCTATTTTTGTGGTTGTTAAATTTCTCAGACATTTTACAATTTTATTTTACATAATTTTGGCATTAATAATCAATTGATTAAAGCTCTCGGGCTCTAATCAGATTATTAATGCCAAAAATGATGTCTCATCAAATTGATATTAAAATATTCTCGAGATTTAGATTCAACAAAATTAACTGACTATTATCGAAGTCTTGATATATTACCGTTGAATATAATTATATAATTTACACGTCAAATGTATTTTGTTCCATTAGATATAACTGTTTGTTCAAAAAAAAAACTATCGTTTCCAATATCGCCATTTTGACTCGAAAACTTCGTGTTTACATAAAAATTCTTCGGGTCAGTAATTTAATGCCAGTGTCACAGAAAGAGCTGTCTTTTATGCATGACTCGTCGCGGGAGAACACAATAAGAATATTAGTATAATACAATGAAACAAAATCATTCCCACATAAAATCAATCCAGCATTAAATTGATCTCTCGTAAAATTTATCCCACATTAAAATTAATTCCACATAAAATATGTCCCGCATTAAAATCAATCCCGCATAAAATGTATCTTGCATTGAAGTCAAACGTGCATAAAATTAATAGCTTTGAATATAATTATTAATGTGTTTACACGGTTATTAAGCTCTCCCTTTTTTAACAAAAGAAACTTGTTTTTCTCTAGGTCAGCATTGACACAATGTTAGCAACTTTATAGATAACTGGTTACATCAGTATATAAACATGATTTAATTATATAAAAAAACACGTTATATCTAAAAGATTGAAAATGCCAAATTGACGATTAAAACCAAACAGTAGGTGCTAATCACCAAACAACGTAGTAGCTTTGTTTTCCCACCACGTACCACTCGTTTTATTTACATTTCGATTTTGTTTTGACAGCCGATCGGCGAAAAGGGCGACATCTTATCCGATAGCGAATGAACTATCTTCCCAGCCCATCGAGAGATCGATGAGCACGAGACGTTACCAATTGCCTAAAACCACGCTCTCTCTTTCACCAAATATGTGAAAACATGCGACGTAATTATCTACCAACTAAAATTTCCAAAAATAACTGTCAAATAGACGCGATTCTAAGGGCAAGTTCGAGATGACGCCCTGTGGAGTGGACGAGCAGAGTCCTGTCAAGTCAGAGAACGCGCTTTGTCATTCAGAGTAAAAATCATAACCTCAATCCAGTATGTCAGTCAACGGTCAGTTAATTATTATGCATTACAATAGAATAACTTTCAGAATTTACTTATAATAATCTATATGAGTTGAATAATTTTAAAATACAAATATTACCTATCACAAACCCACAAAACAATAATGTGTCGTTCATTGACATAATTGACATTTCATTGTTTAAATTCCCGACAGATCTCGATCTTCTAACACAGAGTAAAAAAAGTGCACTCGGAGTCCATACTCAGAGTCATATCGAACGCGATAAATCGCACACTGAATCTCTAAAAAAACGTGAAAATGAACTCAGAGCAACCTGAGTTTTTACTCGAACTCACGGTAAATGACAACTGTCGGTTGTCGAAACATTCTTTCTGTTTACAGGTTGTTTTTTATTTTTTTATAGCTTTTATTTATTTTCTTTTGTTTCCTTGTATATCTTTTTATCCTTGTCCAAAATGTCATATTATCTGATGCATATGTTTCTGTTTTTTAATTTTTAAAATCTGTCCAGGAGTCGCTTTTCGATTTTTTAACCTATAAAATTGACCAATTGAGCATAGTAAAATGGCGGGCCGGTCCCTCTTTGTACTATCGTATCCCCAGGTTGTCATATCACTGGTTTTATGATAGCTGATTCTTAACTGTCAGTTGTCTGCATACGAAAATAGAAAAATCTGGATAGACGAAAGTTATTTTTGGAAAATATTAGAAAAGTGTGACCTATTTAAAGTATTGTTAGACTCTGTGTATGGGGAACGGTATTGCATAAATATTTTTAAATTTTGTATCAATAATTACCTACAATATAAAACAACTTTGAGGATGATGATGATAATACACCTGAAACTTTGTAAATTTTAAAAATATTTATCTCGATTTTGTCCCGAAAAAAAAAAGGCGCTACTTTTTTAAAAATACACTGTTAGACAAATTTAGCGTTTGTTAGATCTTACCATTGTTTATATTTTTCTACCTGTGTCATGTCATAATATTGAACAAACAAAAAAAATCACTATATTATCTTAAATTATATCAGTAGTTATAAACAAATAAATATTTATTAAAAGCAGATCGACATTGGGCCACAGACAGCGATAAGACATCACAAAGCCAACTTTACGTCACATACAGTTAATATGATAATTTTCACGTTTGACATATTTAATGTGACGTCTATTGACATTTGACATACTTTTTTGACATTCCGCACGTTTTGTGTGACATTTTTGGCATTTGACAAGCTTGAATATTCGTTTTTGACATTCTTCACGTTTTGTGTGACATATTTGATATATATGTGACGTCTACTGACATTTGACGAGCTTGAACACAAGTTTTTGACATTCCGCACGATTTGTAACATTTTTGGAATTTGACATATTTAATGTGACATCTATTGACACATTTTTGACACTCCGCACGTTTTGTGTGATATTTTTGGCATTTGACATGTTTAATGTGACTTCTATTGACATTTGTCTCACGTTTTGTGTGACATTTGACATATTTAACGTGACGTCTATTAACATTTGACAAGCCTGAACAAACATTTTTGACATTTCGCACATTTTTTGTGACATTTTTAATGTGACGTCTATTTGGTATTTGAACACATGTTTTTGACATTCCCCGTTTTAGTATTTGACATATTTAGTGTGACTTCTATTGACATTTGGCATTCCACACATTTTGTGTGACATTTTTGGCGTTTAAAATTTGTTTTTGAATTTGACACATAAGCAAGATTTTTAGCATTTCGACAAGTTCGTTCATGCATATTTGACGTTTTTACTGAGTGTGGCCCAATATCAACTGAGGTTAAAGGGCGTAATAAGATCGTTAGAATTTGTTTTGATGTGTGAAAAATTTTGCTAAAAATCGTAGCGGAATTTAATCAAAAAGAATGCTAGTATAGGAATATTTTTTTATTGATATACTTTGTAAGACTGTCTCTCTATGCTGTCGAAATATTTTCTTTAAAGTCTAGACATACAAAAACAAAACTGAATCATTTTATTTTTTTCAAAAAGGAATTTGTTAATGAAGAAAAGCAATAAGGTGTTATTCGGTGCACGAAAAACATTTTTCTTTGTCAATATTTTCGTTACAAAGATATTTATGCGTGTTTCATATAAATTGCATTTTGATCACAAAAATCAATTAAAAATTATTTTTTTAATATAAAAAATCAACTGATGTTAAATCGGGCGGCCTTGCAGTCATTTTAAAGCATATAATTTGTTTTCGGGTTTTCTGCAACAAACAAAATCAACTCTTGTTAAATCAGGCTGACTAGCAGGCCTAATATTACAGATTGTGCATCTTTTATGCAAATAATTATTGAAACACGTCATAATTACATTTTAGTTAGCTTTAATTCTTATTATTTATTTTTCTAATACAGGGTGCTACGAAATTATTGCTTCCATTACTTTTGTCCGCCCTGTATATGCGTATTTATTCTAGGATGTCAATGGTTAGAAAAGGTGATAGAATATATTTTCTACTTGTTAAATAAATCTGTTAATCTAAACGACATATAAATGGTAAAAAATATGAAGCTTGTTAGAAGGTAAGTAAAAAAATCTTGATTTGTATATAATGAGTGTATAAAATCATTGGTAACAAAAAATTTGGCTGTCTTAAAACGTTATTCTCTATTTTTTTCTTCCAAGAATTTCTTACCTGTCCTGTATATTGGCCAAATGTCGGAAATATCGAAAAACTGAATCGAATTTTTATTAATATACAGGGTAGGTTTCTATGAATTACATTAAATTTGGCCTGAGCCTGTTTCAGTATTGTTAAATTTAAAATGTTTATGTAACTGTTTTCGATTCAAAAGATTCTCTATTAAGTGTTAAATTTAATTTTTCAAAAAAAAAAAAATAAAATAAAAAGTATTTTTCTTTTTTTTACCTACTGTTTAAATTCATAAAGTGTAGGTTGTGATAGATTCTAAAAAAAATGTTTATGTATATTAAAATATATTTATATGTATATATGTATCAAATTGTTGCAATAAAATGTGATAAATTATTGAAAAATTGTTTTCATTCTAGGTCCAAAACTAACCATTCCTGAAAAACCGGTTAAATTAAAAACGATGTTACCTGAAAATGACGACCCAAACGTCAATTCACCAAACTGCGATACCAGTTCAATTCCGTTAGAATTTCAAAACCCCTTTTCTTTTCCATTGTACACTATTCCGATAGGTAATTAGATTATTCCTGTAGATTCATTCAGCCGTGTGTCCCGAAAACCGTGTGAAACCAGCAGGAATCCGTTAATTTCCAAAGTTGTTTATATTTTCTTTTTATTAAATTTTTTTTATTTGCAACCTTATCAGTATTTTGGAAGCAAATTCGGATTTTGTCTGCTAATTTTACAATAACGTTTAGAGCCATATAAAATAATTTAATTCATTTCAATTAAATATTGGCTTATATTATTTTTATTTAATAAATAGATTTTGATTGGTTTTAAGAAATAATAATTCTGAATAAACCGGTAAACTAAAACTTGTAAATATTGGTTTCGAAAATAGTTATACCGGGGTTGTACAAAATTTAGTTTCCGTTAATTTTATATTAGTTTGAAAAATATTTATACCAGGTGGGTGATTAACATAGAAGTAGTTTGAACTTCTCCGAATATTTTGTTTAAAATTAATTATACCGAGTTGCCAAGAAATTAATCAATCGTAGTTTTCAATTTTAACTTTTGAATTCTTTCGAATGGAGTAACATGAATTTCTTGAACATTCAATAAGTAACTAATTGATTTCTTTCGTACACTCCGCTATAAAATTTCCTGAATTAAAGTATCGTCCGAGTTGTTATTGAAGACAGTGACTACTCCCTCAGTAGAATGGGCTAATTTGGTAACCAACTTAGACGATATGTTCCGGATTTGCTATTGAACAAAAGTTAATCTTACCTACCTTCGCCGCCGTTTAGTACAAGTCTGTATTTCCTCGCAAATTTCTTTAGCTCCGCGATTAACGTTCTTTTGGTTTATTTAATTCTGATCCCTGTCCCTACCGTCAGTTAAGACTTTTAGTGAATTCCCGACCAGTTGACTGAATTGTAAGTCGATGTATAGTAACTATCCCGCGTGGTAGAATGGGCTGATTCGGCTTCGCTCCCAGATTCTGGTTAATACGAGGTTACAGAGCATGGCGCGCCATCCTCAGGGGTTGCGTCGCCTAATAATAATCTTGTGATCTGTTAGGCTGTAGCTAGATTTGCAATTTCTCCGTTGTATGGTACTTCCACTCGCCGCCGTGTCTTTATAGTCAAAAGCTCTAAGACGCTTAGAGGAGAAATTCATGAGATTCCGAAAGTTCGCCCTGCCGAAGACCGTAGACTTGCTACAACGCCGCGTAGTACTTAAGTGTCTACTTCTGGCTTGACCGCCGGTTTCCCGACACGGTTTTATTCATAAACGCAATCATTTGTCCGATTGAGTTTTTATTTTGCCCATTAATTTCCGTTACAATTTTTGTTTTAATTTTGTTGAGGGTTAGATCTAATAACTTGTGGAGGACTTGTAAATACAAGTATTTAGCTTCAATGTATATTAACTGAAACGAATTGTAAATACCGAACAATATATGTGTCAAATTAAAACCTGACATTTCATCCCCTTGTGATAAATCTCTTCAGGTACACCAATATTGTAATATCGGTGACACTCTAGAATGTTCTTTCTTTACTGCAGCTACCTGCAGCCCTTCTTGGAGCTTGTTCCAACAGGTAATAAAGTGGAACAAACCTCTCTAAAACAAACTGGCGCCCGAACACACCCAGTTTTCGAACGTCACAAGTGAGAGTATTTCTAACCAGTTGAGAAAACCTCTCACAGTTTTTTCCAGGAACTGCTGTCAAAAAGTCGTGGTTAGTAACGAGTAGTCGGTTATTAGATCTTTTCCGTTGCATTGAAAGTGTAGCACTGAGCTACGCCACTTCTGAAAATATCGTTACATTTATTCAAATTGTATGGATGGAACGATGTTTTCAAAAGTTGAGTATCTCAGGGTTACACTTTCGATGCAAAGGAAAATATTTATGTACCTATATGTCAAGTAACCTCGTCAGTTGTCAACATTAGCAGTGGAATTCTCATCTTTCGAGGTGCCTATCTTCGTTCGACAAACTACGATTCTTATGTAATGTCTCCACATACTTTAATTTTCTTTTACTATACGGAGAATGGTCGCACTGCGCAACTTTCTGAGTGCCTTTTAAAAGGAGATAGAAAACCATTTTGATCCCTTATTACGTGTTGCCTACATCTTGGCGCAATATTTTTAATAGGTGCCTTTTAATCATCCGCTTCTGCTTCGGAATTGTCGGTTTTCTTGTTTTAATCTGATAAGTTAAAACGACTAAACCGACAATTCCGGAAGCAGAAGCGGATGATTAAAACGCACCTGATATTTTGATTGCTGCTGTCAGTGAATATTATTTTTGGAGTCACAGTTTATTGCTAAAAAATCAGTTAGCTCACTCGGACTAGTTGAAAGTTCCAAAATAACATCCACTCCAGGGATACAAATTTAGGATACGCAGAAGACTGCTGTTTTATTATAGGCGGTTGTCATATATTGTATTATCCGAGTTGCAGTGTATAAACTGGAACATTGAGAACAAAAGTGCCGACGCAGAGTGAGCGATCTGATTCTTTAGCTATAAACTGTGGCATAGGAATCAAAATGGTCGCGCCCTATGTTGGGCGTGTCGGGCCTCTGTCTTGCACCGTATAGTAATCAAAAGGCGAGTTGGGATAGTCGGGGGCTATAGCGGGACAAAAACAGAGTTTTTTAGGGTGCTTTTAAATGACATTTAAGCGTGTTAAACTGTCACTAATCGGACTAAACTGAACGCTAAAAGGGTCGTTTAGAGTAAAAAGTGTCAAACGAACTTGGCAGACCGAACGCAATGAAAGTATGTGAATGTCTCTCTATTCGACACGTAACGTGTCTAGTCCGTACGTACCACATACTTTGATTACTATACGAGACAAGAGAGAGGTCCGACACGCCCAACATAGGGCGCGGCCATTTTGAACCCTGCGACACAGTTTACAGCTAAAGAATCAAATCGCTCACTCTGCGTCGGCACTTTTGATCTCAATGTTTCAGTTTATACACTGTGCAACTCGGATAATACAATATATGACAACCGCCTATAATAAAACAGCAGTCTTCTGCGTATCCTGAATTTGTATCCCTAGAGTGGATGTTATTTTGGAACTTTCAACTGGTCCGAGTGAGCTAACTGTGACTTCAAAAATAATATTCACTGACACTGACAGCAGCAAGCAAAATATCAGGTGCGTGTTAATCATCCTCTTCTGCTTCCGGAATTGTCGGTTTAGTCGTTTTAACCTGTCAGATTAAAACCGACAATTCCGAAGCAGAAGCGGATGATTAAAACGCACCTTTTAAAAATATTGCGCCAAGATGTAGGCAACACGTAATAAGGGTTCAAAATGGCGGAGTTTTCTATCTCCTTTTAAAAGGCACTCAGAAAGCTGCGCAGTGCGACCATTCTCCGTATAGTAAAAGAAAATCAAAGTATATGGTACGTACGAATCCCTGTGCAGATCTCGGTATGTCAACGTCAGATATCACAATGATGTAGGTGGTTCTACGAGGAACTCATAAAAAAAATAAACCTTCAACCATTAATACTATCGACACATTAACAGCTTTAATAACCATTTGTAGGAGATTATAAACGGTAAAGGGTAAATTGTGCATGAGCTAAAAGAGATATCAAATCACAGTTAGATACTTTTAATAAACCCACACTCTCTGAATGATTAAATTTTAAGAGCCTGGCTAGGAAAAAAAGAATTACTGTAACCTCTTATACATCTTTGGATAGGCTATTAACGTGGCATCTATTGCAAATAATATCAAATTATTTCAGATTGTCAATATGGAATTCGGAAAAAAGTACAAAAGATGCAATTTTAAGATTTTCAACAAAAATCACAGATTCCATAAATGAATCGCCTATTTCAGAAACAACCTTAGTCACATTTTAGCCACTTTAAGTTTATTCTGGCAACGCATATTTTTGGGGGTAACATACAATTCAGAAAGAACTTAAGTCCCTTATGCATCGTGGCTTTTATTACGATTTAAAATATTCGTTAATTTCTGAAATAACCTTAGTCCCGGAATTACAAAATGTTTTTCCCATCTCCTGAAAACTGTTAGATTGTGAGTTAGGTTGTTTCTGAAATAAGCGATTCAAATAAGAGTAAACCCTGTCTAAGTATATTTTTTGATTTATCAAAAGCATTCGACATTGGACGACATCGGAATATGTGGTAAATGTAACAAACTCTTTGACCGACAGACTCCAGGCTGTGTGAGTATGTGATGTTTGCAATGACGCGGAAACTATAAAGTACGGGATTCCTCAAAGATCCATACTTGGTCCTACACTATTTAATATCTATATTATGTTTTTCTTAGACAGTTGCGGTACTGTAATTGAATTTGATGATGTTACTCGTAAATTTTTCAAAATAATCTACCAATAATTTGATTTTATTAACTCGATTTAAAAATAAGAAAACTTTCAATTTTATAACATATTCAACGCCAGATGTCATAAGTGTCTAATGGCACTATAAAGTGACGTATGACAGTAAACGTCAATCATTTGCTGTCGATTCTAAAGTATAAAGGAAAAACAATACAAAAAAATTCAATCGTTTTATTAAAAACAACAACACTGTAACTGTTTCCACCTAAAAGCTGTTGTAAAAATAAATAATAAATAATTTAAAACTTATATATAATTAATCGTCCGAGTCCAAATCGAATGCGTCATTACTTTCTGGAAGTTTTTGGAAACGCTCCTTAGTTTTCGTCCAAACGATTTGCTTCCCCGACGGAGCCGCCATCTTTATCACGTTTGATGCACCCACGCCTGCGTTGCCCTCATTTGACACGGGTTTAATCTAAAAAAATACCAGATGTAAAATAATATAATAAATCTTTAGTCCAAAAGTATATTACAATGACAAAATTAAATATGACTAGAAAAAAAAAACTAAAAACTACAATATAACGAGTCATCTAGAAAAATCATAATAAATGTTTTCAAAGCCATTTTTTATTACATGACGTTTTTATTGTAAATAAACGTTATTACATCGAAATGAAAAAAGAAAGAACGTTGTTTTGAGGAGGATATTCCCAGAGAGGCAGGTATATTGGACAAGTAAATTGGCAAAAAAAGAAAGTGGTAAGGTTATTGACAAAAAGGAAAGTGATAAGGTTATAAAGTACTAATACAAGGAGGTAAAAAAGTGCGAAACGAAGGAAAATGGGGTAAAAAATAAAAGTAAGTCAAAGGAGGCAAGAAGTAGGGTTAAAAGGAAAAAGGAGACTAAAATGGGAACGAAAATGATAATCCCTATCATTTTCGTTCCCATGTGAAGGCAAACATTGGACCGTCTTAATTGGAATTCTGATGCAACATGTGATTTTGGTAACCAGAAACCTTATATGGTGAATGGAGAATAAGTGTGATGAATTAAATCTTACTTTCTAATTCACATTTTTTAGGCCTGATGATGGTTCATAACAGCCGAAACTAGTATCAGCTTGTAAAACAATAAAATTATGTTGTAAAGGGCTTCGAGTTTAATTTCCTTATCACTTAAATTCTGACGTATATAAACAACAGCTTGAGTTGAAGATTGTATGTTAGAAGAAAAGGAAATATGATACAATTCTTCCAATAAATTTGCAGCTTACTTTGAAAAAATATTAAATTCGTTGGATATATCGATACCTTTTTGCCAGACTAATGTAAGCGACATTTGTTTACATAGTACTTACGATAGTCTGACAAAAAGGTATCGATATTTAATGTCCCAATCAATATTCATACATTTAAGTAAAAATCCTTCGTAGGTATCAAAGTTTTACATTTATTCAAGCCTCTAATAGGCAAAAACAAACAAATACGTCTTCTATAGGCACATACAAATTTACCTCGTTTATAAAACTAACCCCAGTAGCGGGACCTAATATTTATGGCAATCTCCCCACCAGAGGGATCAAACTTTATAAAACTACCCCACCAGCGGAATCTAATAATTATGGCAATATAACCACCAGCGGGATCAAACTTTATAAAACTAATTACACTAGCGGGACCTAATATTTATTGCAATCTTTCTACTAGCGGGATCAAACTTTATAAAACTAACCTCACTAGCGGGACATACATTTGTACATTTTAAAAAGGTACCCCAACAGTGGGATCTAATTTTTATGGCACTTACCCCACCAGAGGAATCAAACATTTTATAGGCATCCTTTATACTATTTACCCCGCCAGAGACATTCTTTTTTATGGCATCAAAAAACCTCATCAGTAGGGATCTATCTCAAACCCCACCAGCGGGACACACAAAACATTACATTCACCCCATTAGTCGGCATCTTCAAACACATATATAAATTTCAAATACAAAAGGTTGCTTTTTCTCTCATATTACATTATGCAAATGTTTCTATAATTACAATTTTAAAACCATAATGCTCCTATGCATCTAATCAAAACTAAAATTTTAAATCTGGTAATTCTAATGTTTCTTTACTCAATCAAAAGCATATTTATATCACAATTTATTCCACATATCATTTACAAACTCATATAAGATCTAAAATAGCACATTTTTGTACAACAATCATTGGTACTTTTTTAGGTACGCATTCAAATACACTATTATACTTTATTACACAACATAAAACATTTTTCTTTTCATTACTATACCTACATATCTAAGTACTATTCTACAGTAGTTAATATACACATATTCTCCATGTCTCAGTCATATATTTCAAATCGGTACCTAACTATAATCAATCATAATCAACCTTACTTATTAGTGCGATTCATATAATCGCCCATACAAATTTAAATACACATAAAAACAAATAAAGCCATTCAAATAATCAAATTACTACCAATTTTTTTAATAATAAAATTCTAAATTTCATTTCCAACACAAAGTAAACAAACAAAAATATTAAAACTTTCTAGCATCAAATTTGCTACATAATTTACTAACTGGTTCCAATACCATTTCATAATTAAAACTACTCAAAACTAAACTACATACTTTACTACATCAATATAATTTTACGTTAACAAAATACAAACACAAACTCTTAACACTAATACGCAAACAGCCGATTCTACATTTTAGGCCACATGGCAACATTTTCCAAGTCAAACAAAATTTATAAAAACTAAAAATTTTACCGCTGGGTATTATTAAAAACTAACTACATATAAATTCAATTTATTTCTTCTAATTCAAATCACATTTCATATAATCTAATCACAGCTACGTCACGTGTAGCTCCTATTAAATATAATGTTACAATTCCCAAACTAGAAAATTTTGCAATGCTCATGCTAGCAAATTTTACTCCTAAACTTTTAACTATCTTTGAAAATCAAGAACCCATTTCTTAATTCAAACTTATTTTAGTATTTTACTATCTAAAATATCAGCTAATAACATTAAAAACCTACAGACTATTGGTATAACATTTTTATAAAATTCTCTAACTTTACTAAACTACATCGTATTATAGCGTACCTATTTAGGTACAAAAACAATATTCTAAATAAAAACATCAAATTTTCTGGACTACTACACATATCTAAACTAGATTTATCTTTCATCATAAAAATAATTTAATCTAAATATTTTTCAAAAGGAATCAATACTAATAATTTGATCATTGCTGACAAACATAATTTTCGTCTAAAGTGAAGTACATAAGGTACACACATACTCTACATTTACTGTACTTAGGCACGTTACTTTAAACTTATACCTATTTAGGTATTTTACTCTAAACTCATTTAAAACCTTTTTTTAATCGATACAAACATACGAGTACGACACATTCATACCTTTTAGGTACTTCATTTTGCACTCATCTAAAACCTTTTTCAACAAGTACATACTATACTCTCACCTGCTTAGGTACTTACGTTCAAAATAATTTTAATATCCTTTCAATAGGTACATATACTATATACTAATTCATAAATCTCATAGGTACTCACTCAGTTAATACTTATACCTATATAGGTACTTCAATTAATTTCATTCAACACATCATATTAATGTCGCATGTGTGATCTGATAATTGGCCGATTATCTGATCATACATGTGATATACAGGGCATATAATTGTGACACGAGGTCGGCCAACCAACTGTCATAAAAATACGTACCTAATACCCATTCATACTTTGTTTTATTTTTATCATTTTTTTACTTATACTCGTACCTAATATCCATTCATACTTTGTTTTATTTGATCATGTTCTTACTCATAATCGTACCTAATACTCATTCTATTTTTTTTTTAATTTTATATAGGACAAATCGAACAAAACGTCATACAATTTAGATCATTTATTTTTTAGCTACACCTACCACGTTGAGGTTATCCAGCTCCTCAACAACGTCAATTTAATAAGAAGACTCAAGAGAACCCAGCCTTTTGAGTGATGTTAGAAATTAAGTTAAAATACAATAATTGCAAGATCAGATTGTAATGCTCTACTCCAGGCATTTATTAAAAAAGAAAACTGTTATTTCCGGAGAAAGTGGAATTACATAATGACTTCACGTAATAATAATTGAATTAGTTATAAAAAAGTTCTTACTCCAAACTTTTAAATAAAAATCATTCCGATATCTCAATAATAATCTCAATTAATAATGAATGTAAGAGGATGCGAGACTTAAGTTTCCCACCCTGTGCATCTGGACAATTTTTATAATCAAGTTTTTTGGGTTTCTAGGACCCCAAAACGTAACAATTTTGGAGAGATTGCAATAATCTCTCCATTCTTATGGATAAAAAAAAAGGTTTACTTACTGGTTCTAAAAGTCCATCACCGCTTTTCCCCAACGACTGACCTTCCTTCCAACCCATCTTCGCCAACAATTTGAAACCCTTATTTTCCTTATTAATAGACCTGCATAAAACAAAAAATATTAACCATGTTTCGAGCTATTTTTCAACGATTTTTCTTACTGATCCACCGAAGCAACTTGCGTCTTCTCGTGAGGATTCTGACTGCCCACCGTCTCTCTACGTTTCTGAGCTCTATCCGTGTATCCCGTGGCCAATTTGGGATCGTCGTCGTGATGTCCCGATACGCCGTACAACATTTTCAGATTGTTCAATTCCTTTTTGTGCCTATCCGATCGGGTATTTTGGTCTATTTTTAACCTTACTGCATCTAAAAAAAGTATAAATACGTACATAATGATATTTATACGAATTACATACAAGCGACTAATCAGAGTTTGAAAATTTAACGATACTGATGATCTAGCGGGTCATGTTGAATGATAATAATTCTAAATTTATTTCATTATATTTTCACCTACTTTAATCTTAGTTGTACTATGAAGAAGATAAAGGAAGTTACATCGTTAACAAATAAATTAACAAGAAGCGGTCCCAACTAAAAAACTTGAGGAACTCCAGAAATAACAGAGTATTCAGTTTTCTTAAATATCTTAAAAACCGGATCTGATACCTTGAACTGTTTGGCAATTTTTTTCAATTTAAATAACTTTGTAGTTCTAGTGGTTTACTAAACTATAGTAGTGTGCATTTAAATTATTTTTTATAGGTTTGTCTCTCAAAATCTAAGAAGGATAGAAAATTACTGTTTTCCCCAATAAAAAGTGAAAAATATAAGAAAAAACTTATAGATTTCACTACCTAACAAATTTTGTCAATACACACTTTATTAGTTCAATTTTTTCCATTTTTTTTTATTTTAAATATCTGTAAACAAACCTCGATTCACTTGTATCAATCCAGGTTCACAATGTCCACAAGTCTGATTTCCCTCGTGTATATGACACAACAATACGGTTTGTCCTATTTGTATTTTACTGCCGTGCGCAATAGGCGTAGCTTCGCTTTCCTGCTTTGAAGAGGACATCCTTTTACCGTTCATCAAAGTGCCTTAAAAATACAATGGTAAAGGGTAAAGTATTATCAAGAAATACGATTTCCTAGATTCTAGGGAAATTTCGATCACGTGACCGAAATACTCGGCTCCGATTTGTCGAATCGTTAGATATTTCCCTAGATATACTACTTTTCAACTACCTCGATGTTTAAACCAACATATTTTATAAATCTTCGGAAATTACTAACGATTATACCAAGACTAAAATTTTTTTACCATTTCTAGATCCCAAATCGACGGCCCGATACTGGGAAGTTTTTTCATCGAAATCGACTTTCAAATGGTGTTTGCTGACGTTGGGATCTTTCAACAGGATCGAGTGGGTCCCCTCGCGGCCTACTGAGCCCCCGCCGCACGTTATTATCTGCAACGATCCGACTTTTAGATCGGGGATTTCCGTGGATTCGACGATGACTCTCATGCATGGCGGCCAACTTTTCGATATATCTGCAAGACGAATGATTTTTTGTTTGTAGAAAAATAAGTAATTTCATTAATATATAGTAGAAATTAAAAGAAAATCAAAGTCAATATTAATCAGTGGCGTAGCCAGGATCGTTTCCTGTGAAATGGATTTACTCGGCGTAGATGAGTTATCTATTCTAATTATACAGGGTGTTTTCAAAGTTGAGTTATTTATTTTAACAGCTTGTAGAACTCGTCAAAAGAAGTCGATATACCAAAAATCACCTAAATAAAAATTGCAAGAAATAAAAAGGAATTTCAAAATTTTAAAACTAAAACAAATACAAACTATTTATCCGCATATTTTAATATTCCTGACCACTGCCAAGTAAAAACTTATCTAGGTATGGCTTTTTTTTGTTATACGGTTTTGAGAACAATTTTCGGTTAATTATTGGTATCAAGCGTTTAGTTCGTATCACTTTAATTTTTTTGATATTTTGTACGGAAAAATGGCCCACGTTTATGGAAACAATGAACTAGTGGACATAATACTAACATACGGAGAATGACAACAAAATGCAGCCACAACATGTCGCCTTTACGCGGAAAGGTTTCCATTAAGAAATCATCCGGCTCCACGGATGTTTGTAAATTTAGTTATTCGACTTCGTGAGACAGGATACTTGAAAGAACAACGAGGGGGTCACGCTGGAAGACCTGCTTCACCTGAAATGGTAGAAATTAAGGAAAATATTTTGGAAATGGAGGAAGATGACCCAACAATAAGTACCAGAGCCATAGCAACTCAAGTCGATGTTTCCCATAGTAAAGTGTGGAAAACAATACGACAGGAACAATATTATCCTTATCATTATCAACGAGTACAAGCATTACAACCTGAAGATCATCCTAGAAGAGTTGAATTTTGCCAGTGGTTTTTACAACAGTTGAACAGAAATGAAGATTTTACGAAAATAATTTTAGCTACAGACGAATCCACATTTACACGAAATGGAATATTCAAGTTTCACAACAATCATGTTTGGGCAGTAAAAAATCAGCATGCCGTAAGAAGATCTCATTTCCAACATAGATTTTTATTAAATGTTTGGGCTGGTGTAGTAAATGGCATGCTTATAATTTTTCCACCTCGGCTAACCGGTGACATTTATTTAGATTTTTTTCGACACCATCTGCCAGAATTATTAGAAGATGTTCCACTGAATGTTAGGCAGGATATGTGGTTTCTACATGTCGGAGCTCCACCGCATTTCAGAAGGGGAGTTCGTGAATATTTGAATGAACAGTTTCCGAATATATGGATAGGGAGGAATGGACCCGTTTCTTGGCCTGCACGCTCCCCGGACCTAACGCCTTGTGATTTTTTCTGTGGGGTTATTTAAAACGGTTGGTGTATCATGATGGAAAAGTAAATACTGTGGAAGAACTTCAAGACCGCATTGTAAATGCTTGTGATGTTATTCGCGGACATCCGGATTTTTTTTTTGAGACCTGTCAGAAGTCGTGGGTACGCCGAGCAAGACTATGCATTAATCGGACAAATGGTGACAATTTTGAACAATTTTTGTAAAAATGGAATACATTTTACCGATAATGAATTTTTTTAATTTTAAAAAAACCTATAACTCCCTTATTACGCAACTTAAATTCAGGTGATTTTTGGTATATCGACATCTTTTGACGAGTTCTACAAGCTGTTAAAATAAACTTTGAAAACACCCTGTACAGTAGAAAATTAAACGATTATTTTTTTTAATTAAAGGTATTAAAAATACGTCAAAGGACACAATTTTAAAACATTTTCAGTAGAAAACAAATATGGGTAGTGTAAAATCTTTTTTCTACGACCGTGTATTTTTACCCACTTTCCCGCACGCATTTTAGTTTTGAAAGTGTCACTTTCCCGCACTAGTGCGGGAAAAAATCACTTTCCCGCACTAGTGCGGGAAAGTAAAATTATGAATATTTGGCCTTACCTATTGTATAGTTTTTTTACCTCGGATGTTATAACTATTGTTACAATAGGTAATTTAGTATTTTCCAACGATTCCATTTAATAAAATTTACTTTTTTTCTTGCTTTTTGTTATAATTTTAATTTTTTGGAAAACTTGAATAATAGAGATATTTTTATATACCTTCTGTATATTTTTAAAAGTCAGACTAGGCTGTGACATGTATGGCTTGATATGGTTACTATATGGTAACCAAGGCGTGTTATTGTTACAAAAACGTCAAAGTTGTTTGTTGAAGCGTCAACTGAATTAAAATAAATTAAAGAAATAATGGATTCATCGGATGAAGAGCTGCCCGAAGCCATTTTAAAAGCTGCAAATGAAGCACATTTGGAGGTGTTACCTGCCAAATCACGAGGAAGATATGAAAAACAATACGACCATTTTGTCACATGGTGTAAACAGGAAGGGGTAAAAACCTACAAAGAAGAGATGTTTCTGGCGTATTTTTCCCACCTAAGTAAGTTTTTGAAATCTAATACTTTATGGTCTCGCTATTCGGTGGTGAAAAGTTTAGCAAAAATAAAACAAAATTTGGATATAAGCCAGTTCCATAAGTTAACGTCATTTCTAAAACAAAAAAATGTTGGTTTTCGAGCACAGAAGGCGCAGGTTTTTACCAAAGAAGATATATCCAGGTTTATGTTAGCCCCTGATGAGGTATACCTTATGATTAAAGTGAGTACCATTTTTGCTTTAGCTGGTGCTCTCCGCAGAGCGGAGCTTGTAAATATCACTCTCGATGATATACAAGATAAAGGCAATCTGATAGTTGTGAAAATTTCCGATTCATTCTTCAAGATCATTTGTTTTATGTGAAGAAATAAATAATGGAAACTTTCTGAAGCTGTACAGAAAGTACGCAGGTTTACGACCACCTACCACTCCGCATCGCCGCTTTTTTATTAATTATAAGAAGGGAAAATGCTCAATTCAGTGCGTCGGCGTAAACACCTTTGGTCAACAGAGATTGCTGCATATTTGCGTCTAATCCTGAACGATATACAGGACACAGTTTTAGACGTTCTTCAGCAACATTCCTAGCAGACTCAGGTGAAGCGATAACCAATATAAAACGTCTCGGTGGCTGGAAGTCCACTACTATCGCTGAAGGCTATTTGGAGGACTACGAAACACAGAAGAAAAACATTTCGAATAAAATTCTTTCAAATAGAAATGACTTGCAACCTTTGCTGCCACCGTCATTTTCACCTTCATGCGACCTGCAACCGATGTCACTCCCGTCCACGTCATCTTTTCAATCTACGAGCGTTACGACTATTAACAGCCAATTAACACCAACTAATTCCTCTGTACCGGCAATTTTACATAATTTACAAAATGCTACAAATTGTGTATTTAACATTAATATCCATAATAATTAGTTGTTTTTATTTAAAGATTTGTATATGTTGAAATAAAATAATTTTCCAAAAATAATTTTTCCTACTTTTTTCTATATACGGTCGTAGAAAAAATAATGTTCCTAACTCATGCGTAAAGTGTCTTTCCCGCACTTGACCGCTTGCCCGAACTCCGCTTCGCGTCGTTCGGGCCAACTGCAGTCGCGTGCGGGAAAGTAACACTTTCCGCACTTGTTAGGAAAATAACTATATAAACAAAATAAAAATAGTGCTAAAAAACGCTCTAAATAGAGTTCTAAAAGAATTATAAAATATTTCAAACGGGTACCTATAAAATTGTTATAAGATTATTTAAAAAGATAATTATTGATTAAAAAAATGCTAGAAAATTCAATATAAAAAATTAAAAATAGGACAAAGAGCACAGCTTAAAAACTTTAGAAGATTTAAATAAGTAAAACAAATGCAGGAAAATAACTAAAAATGAATAAAAAATGGGTGCTATAAAATCTTTATAAATTAAATGAAAATACAGTGATAAAAAAACGATTTAAATAGAGTTCTAAAAGACAGTTATTAAAATATTTCAAACGGGTAACTAGAAAAACATTATCAGATTATTTAAAAAGAAAAAATATTGAAATATTAAAAATGTATCGCTAAAATATCGTTATGAATTATTATAAGAAAGTTAGAAAATATAACATAAAAAAAAATTAAAAATACTACAGATTGAAAACTTTATAAAAGTTTTGTTAAAAAAGAGCATAAATAATTAAAATAACTTAAAAAATTTTTTAAATGGGTATTATAAAATCTTTATAAACTAAATGAAAGAAAAATGCTATAAATAGTGTCCTAAAAGATAGCTATAAAACATTTAAAACGGGTAGCTAGAAAATCATTGTTGTAATTTTAAAAATGCAGTGCTAAAAAATGGATATGAAATAAAATAATGCTACAAAATCTTGACTGACTGACTGACTGACCTATCAGCGTACAGCCAAAACTACTGAGCCTAGAAAGCTGAAATTTGGAACATTACGTAAGGATCCGCTAAGAAAGGATTTTTGGAAATTTTAACTTTAAAGGGGGGGGAAATGGGGGGAGGGAGCTTTTAATGAAACTCTTTATTCTTTAAAGTTAGAAACATGAAAATTTAAATTACGGCTACTAAGCATAAATAAATAAGGGGGGGTGGGGGAACGGGGGGTGAAAGTTTGTATGGGACTATCGATTTTTTGTTCTCTATAAAGTTAGAAACATGAAAATTGGAATTGCATCTACTGACTACAAATTATTAATGAAGTGTTTCAGGGTTTTTGGATTTTCATATTTTAAGGGGGAAAATGAAGGGTGAAAATTTATTTTTGAGTATCCATGTTTTTGGTTCTCTTTAAAGTTAAACACATGAAAATTGGAATTTTAGCTACTGCCCAGCAAACATTTTCTATAACATTAGTTATAACTCGACTTTGTTAAAGACGAATTTACGTATTGAGGTAATTATTACGTAAAATTGACTAGAAAAATATACCTCTAATGTAAATTTACCAAATGGTTTTAATTTATATTTACCTAAATTATACCAAGAAATCTACCTTTTACACAAATCTGCTTAAAAGTAACTTTAACCATATCAACAAGGGAAAAACTACTAAAAAAAAATAACCAACAATTACTTCAAAGTTAAATTTCCTTTGTAGTAAAATTAGGTGCCATATTTAGGTAATATCTACCTGTTTAGCAACTAAAAATCGTCTTTATAGTAGAATATCCAACTAAGTAGATTTGGTTAAAAATTCTACGTAATTTTATGCCTCCATAGTAACCTATTTGGCCGCTTTTATTTACTCTCCTTTAAAGTAATATTAGGTCGAGATCGTAGCAAAATTCTACCTGTTTAACTACCTAATTTCAACCAAATAGTCGAATACTCATTTAGTTGACCTATAAGTCATCTTGAAGAAATATTTATTAACTTTGTTGTAGCAATTATCTGAAAAATCTACCACAAAGTAAATTCGACTAAAAACCACCAATTTAAAAAGAGGCATACATGACCTATTTGTAAAATTTATATTATTTAGGTTATTTTAACAATTAGGTTGTTCAGTTACTGTCTTCGTCATTATTCTTAAGAATTTCGGCCATTAAAAAAAAAAAAAAAACATTACAGTCGTAATCTTAATTTACGTGTGGTGTAGATAGAGCTTTAAATGAGTGCGAAAAATAATTAATAAAATGAGTTCGAAAAATAATAAATCATATCGTTATACTTTTTTATCGTAAAGTGAAACGTCTAAAATCTCAAGTACAGAACAACGTGACCTAAATATGTTATATTTACCTATAGGTAAATTTTTTATAAAACCTATAAGTTATTATTTCTTTAAATAGGTAAAGTTAACTAATATGTCGTGAAATTGAAGTTAATTCAACTTAATAAAAAGGTATTTGTAAAATACGTGGATTTCCTTAGTCATAATAACTTTTAGGTCGAATTCGCACAATACGCCATATTTTCTTAACGTAATTGAAGTACGATTCCAAATTTTAAATTTTTAAAATGACCATATCTAGAACATACGAATGAAAATACCGAAAAACGAAACATTATTGATTTTCTAAAGTGATACACAACAAACGTAACATAGTTTTAGCTCATATTATTATTATTATTATTTTTTTACACGATCATATTTTTTTCTTATATTTTTTTAATTAGAGAGTATTTTGGAAAGGCATTGTTATTTTTCTAAGTAGAACTGTTAACATGCACGACAAAATTTTCTTCGCATTAATTTCAACAAGCGTGAACTGTATATTCACCGCAATTACATTACATATATTTTTGTCACCGACATTTATTTATTTTCAATCTTTCATGTGAATTAGGTATATGTTTTAGTTGTGTTGGTGACTTCTTACAATTTTTCTACTTATATATAGATAAAAATACCAAATAAGTATAAAATTTCTTTTCGTACACTTGGAGGCATACGTCATCTGCAAATATTTTGGCTTAGTTAAATCAACGTCGAATTAACGTTATACTGACGTCAAATTTCCCTAGAGAGGTATTACTTATCAAACGTACTGGGCTACTACAATGTGGATTTAGATGTAATTCTACCTATTTTGGTAAATAAAACCAAATTTCGACGTCGTCTTATTCTCCACTTATGTCGAATCCACGTCGAGCCAACGTAAATTTTACTTAATTATGGTTAAATCTAATTTTGCGCCCAAATTTATTATATATAATTTAGGTAGTATCGACGTCAAATTACACCAAAATGTTTGCTGGGTGAGTACAAATTAATAATAATGTGTTTTAGGGTTTTTATATTTTTACATCTTGAGGGTGGCAAACGGGGGGTGAAAGTTTGTATGGGAGTATATATTTTTTTGTTCTCTTTGAAGTTAGAAACATGAAAATTGGAATTGCAGCTAATGAGTACAAATTAATAATGACATGTTTAAGGGTTTTTGGATTTTCACATTTTAAGGAGGAGGGGGGTAAAGTTTATTTGGAAACATCGATTTTTTTTAAAGGTAGGAATTTGAAAATTGGAATTGTAGGTTCTCATCATAAATAAATAATGAAGTATTTCAGGGTTTTTGCATTTCAACATTTTAAGGGGGGAAATGGGAGGTGAAAATTTGTTTAATAGTATGTATATATTTATTTGTTATTTAAAGTTTGAAACATAAAAATTTGAATTACAGCTACTGACTAAAAATTAAAAATGATGTTTCATGGTTTTTGGATTTTCACATTTTAAGGAGGGAAAACGGGGGGTGATAATTTGAATAGGAGTATAAATTTGTTTGAACGTTGGAACTTGAAAATTATAATTGTAGCATAAATAATGACATGCTCTATGGTTTTTAGATTTTTGAATGGTAGTATCTTATAAACTAAATTTAAAAAAAAATAATTATTAATAAAAATTAAATGATTAAAAATTAATAAAAATCAATAAAAAATAATAAAAATTAATAAAAATAAATAAAAATTTATAAAAATTAATAAACAATACAAATTAATAAAACTAATAAAAATTAATAAAAATATAAAAGAATTAAAAGAAAGTTTATGAAAATGTAGCACAAAAGAGCAAAAATAATTAAAATTGCTATAAATAAAAAGAGTACTAAAAAATATTTTTTAATTAAATAATAATAAAAGGCTATAAAATAGTTGTAAATATAGTGCTAAAAATCGCTATAAAATAAAAATAATTGCTCCCCTCAAAAATAGTTTAAATGTAAAAAATCCCATGGAAAATATTAAAATATTATTGAAATGCAACAACCAGAGTTTCAGAAGGTTTTTTTATAACGTTTTTCTTATAACTTTAAAAACATACAATTTTATATAAAAACCATGTTATCGATATTTTGTTATTTTTAACAGGGGCAAAAAAACAGTACCTTACCTGTATTGTCTCATATTATTACCATTTTGAATTTTTTATATTGTAAAATCATATTTTTATTTATTTAGCAATAATAACCCGCCGGCTACGTCACTGACTTACAACCAATTTTTCAATCGAACATTAAAGTCTTTATTAAGTAATTTAATTATTACTTAAAGTTACTCAGACTATGCCCAAAAACTAATTAACATTTCACTGAACCCTGGAAACCATCTAATATCGAAATTGGAAAAAAAATATGTGCGCTTGTCATTTGCAATTCTGTACATTGGCGTATCTAGATAATTTTGCTATGGTTAAACATATTGTTACCATGCAGTAATCTGCGGTTGTTATAGGTAAACGTAAACAAAAGAAGAACTGCAATGCCCCCTAGCACCCTACACTGTGATGCGGTCGTTATAAGTAAGAGTACGAATAAAAGAAGAGTCTACAAATATCTGGATGGCGGAATTTATTTCCATTTCGTGTCTGGAAACATCTGGAACTTTCGAGAAAATCAAGGGAGCTATATACGGCGATGATATTGACGTCAGAGTTGATTGTAAAGGTTTGAGTTTGAAAATAAATTGAATTTATCAATATGTTATAATTTTAACAGTCAACTGGTATTTAAAATTGAAAAATACCTAACTAATATCAATATATAATAGACATTTAAATGAACAATTGAAAAATCGGCTGTTAAACTAAAAAATAACTACCGCCAGGGTCCGAATTTTCGGCACCATCAACATCGTCATCGACGTCAACTTCGTCGCTCTTTTCGCTACTAGAACATTCGCCGTCCTCCATTTCTATATTGTCCTGATCGTCGTCCTTTCGTCTCCGTTTATCGCGGGCCCTTTTGGCGTCCTGGAAAGATAAATTTAACGTTACTTGATTTGATACGTACCCAAAGCGGTCGATCGTAGAGTATTTATTTTCATTTTATTGAAAGTTAACATTAGCTCGTCCATATCGGAAGAGGGCTTTACCTGAAACACAAAAAAAAAACATTATTTATTTATCTGCAATTTATTTCAAAGACACAAGATGACCCATATACATCTAGCCCCAGAGGGGGAAAATCAACAAATGAGAAACCCATTTAGACATTTTTCATCTCTCAAATAGCAGCTATCGTCCACCCATCCATTGTTGATAGAAATATTTTATTCTCAGTAATACATATAGGGATTTCATTTCAAAACTAGCCACCCAAAATAACTTTAAAAATATCTTTAAAACAAAAAAACACGTTAATATATATTTACGGGGGACACATTTTACAAGTATCTGTAACCGTGCAGTTTCATCCCCTAAGCGGTGGTGAATATAACTTCTAAAATTTTAAATATAAAGGGGTATCATGTGATAGCAGGTCTCTTTTTTTCCAATCTTTTGACACATTATTTTTTTAAATCGGATTAATTTTTCATCAAGTTATAACCTAGAAACCGGAAAAAATTAAAAATATTGAATTAAAATGCATGAGTATAAATACCGAGATAAACAAGTTAGCAAAAAGCCTTAAATGTTTTTTGCGTAAGATATTTTTGACCGTAAATTAAAACAATTTATTATTAGTAGATTATTGGTTTCGTTGTGTACTGACAATTTAATTTTGATAATGGTTTATTCTTTACAAAAAGAATTGAAATAATCTTTATTTATGGTGAAGAACAACGCTGTGCACGCAGAACTGCTCGTGTTTTTAATCAGAGACATCCTGATAAAAATGTTAAGCATCAGTACGTGTTGGATTTAGTTCATAAATTTCAAGAAACTGGAAGTGTGTGCAATAAAACTGTAAGGAATCGTAGAGTTTTAACTGAAGCTGCACAAGTTGAGATTTTAGGTCATTTTGCCATGGAATTTTGTTTGGAATGCCTAATTAGTATTACTTCAATTTCAAAAATTTACAAACTGACAGCTTGATTTCAATGTAATTGTCAGTATCGCTAATAGCGGCCTACTAGATAAATTAGTTTCATATTTTCGTTTTATGGCGATATCTAGTTCGTAAAATAATTTTTTGCTGCGAACTGGTTTATTTTGGGCAAAAAATTCAAGGAGACATTTTTTTAGAATGAAACAAGCTATCGGAAATAAAATTTTAAATGGTAAACAAATAATAAGATAAAAAGTTACGTTGGAACGAAATTTTAGGGGTTGCGTTTTCCACCCCTTACAACCATGGGGCAAACCAAATAAATTACTGGCTAAGTGTCTTTTTGGTAGTAGAAAATGTTAGGTTAATTTCAATATTGTAACTTGTTTAGTGCTTATGAAAAAAATTGTTAAACAAATTTTATGTACCCCCTTTAAGGGGCTGTATCTTAACAATGGATGCTCCAATGAAGTTTCTTTATATGAAAGATCCTATCTTTTTTTCGATGAGGAATCACCCTCTTAAATATTTTACACTTATTTAGTTACACCCTGCATATGATGGAAGATCATTGGTATATATTAAAAATAATAGAGGGCCTAGTACGGATCCTTGTGGAACACCTCTTTTCATTAATAAAGGTTTACTAAGTTTATTTCTGTAATATACACTTTGTTGTCTGTTTTGCAAATAAGAAGCAATCATCTTATTTGCAATGCCTCTAATGCCATATTTATCTAGTTTGTTGATTAACAATGTGTGACTTACACAGTCAAATGCTTTAGACAGATCAGTGAATATAGCTGCGCATTGTGATTTGTTTTCTAAAGACTCCTGAATGTTATTCATTAAAGCCAGCATGGCATCTGTAGTTGTTCTCCCATGTCTAGAACCATATTGTTCCACAAAAAACAGGTTGTTGTTTTCAAAGAAATGCACAATTTGTTTTACTATAACACTTTCAAGTATTTTAGAAAAACATGATAAAATATGTATTTGGCGTAAATTTTCAGGTAATGAGTCATCTCCTTTTTTGTGGCCTGGTAGAACTTTGGACGTTTTAAAAATAGTTTTTAAAACAGTTTATCAATTGAGTGATAAAAACAACAATAGGTTTGTTCCAACCCAACAGAAAACCGTACATCGTACGATCATCGTCATGCGTAGTAAATAAAGTCCGTTCCATCCGAGAATTGACGATTCATTGTATCGTCCGGTTAGCGTTTCAACCAAACATGGGACCGTTCGGGAATCGGTTTCTGTACGGTCCTTTCGATACCAAACTAAAAGTTAGTATCGCTTGGATTGACATGCGCACTGCGTACAATGAAACGAGAAAGGCCCGTCTTTTTTGTTTGGATTTGAATTAAATAATTGTTTTTCAGATTTTCTGCTTAATTATGTTTGTTTTTGGATAGTACCTAATTTAATTATGAATGATGAAGAAGGTGATGATTTTCTCTCAGACTTATCGTCTAGTGAAGAGGATTTAGAACTTGCTCTAAATAAACATAGAGTTAAAAATAATAACTATTTAGGTAATTCCTACTTCCCGGCAACTGAAATTGTCAAATGGCATCGTTCGATACTGAAAGTGGTACATTAATTCGTTCCATCCCGGTAGAGTGTGATCCCATCCACTAGACAGTGCCAGGTTAGCGTTTGCGCATAACAAGCTAGTTGAACGATCCCGTGTACCGTTTCGAAACGGTACAAAACTCTTGGTTGGAACAAACCTAATATTTTGGGCGCAGTTTCTTAATAAATAGGTATTATTTTTATATCTTGAGTTCTTTTTGATTTAATGTTTCGTATTATATTTATGGTGTCAGATTCAGTAAAAGGAGCTAAGAAAAGTGATTGATGTTTTTGGTTATAACAAGTTAAGTCAATTTTATTTTTACTGTTATTGAGGATGTCTTCTACTATATCAGATGAATGATTTACAAAATATTTATTAAAGGTTTCTATATCGATTTCAGAGTCTACTTTATTTTTTTATTATTATTTCCTGTTTCATTATTTATTATTTGCCGTAGAGTTTTAGATTTATTGTCTGAATTATTAATTTGTTGAAGTAAGTTAGTTTGTTTTGCATTTTCTAGCAATACATTGTATTTAGTTTTCTCTTATTTATATAATTTCGTATCTGTATACAGATATAAGGAAAGTATAGGAATCATGATTTTTTTCGACCTTGACTTTTCGACGGATTTTTACGTTTTGAGGTCCCCTGAATCCGTTTTAACTATTTTCGCGATGATGTATGTGTGTGTGTGCCTGTATCCAAAATAACTCATGAACGGATACACAGAAAAACACCAAATTTTATACTTAAGCCTTATTCCAGCGTCCAATGAACTGATTAGATTTTGGGCAGAGTCGGAACATCTAGGGGGTACTTTATATTATTATCTATAATTTTTGTTCTATACAAAATTTTCCTAAAATGGTCCGTATTCGAGAAATTTGACAAAATGTAAAAAAAAATAATTTTTTATAAAAATTGTTCAAATAAAAGTTGTTTCTAATATAATTCTCTATAATTTTTATTCTATACATAATTTCTCTAAAATGGACCGTATTCGAGATATTTGAGAAAATGTGTAAATTTCGAATTTTGAAGAAAACTCAAAAACGGACAAAGAAAAAAAACATTAAATTTTAAACTTAAGTTTTATTTTGGCCTGACGTGAATTGATTAGATTTTGGACAAAGTCGGAACATCTGGGGGGATACTTTATGGGAGGCCGTTTTTATATTTTATGGAATATATCTGTTATTTATGTTTGGAGAAGAAAATTGTTCAAATAAAAGTTACTTCTATTATTATTATCTATAATTTTTGTTCTATGTTAAAATTTCCTGAATTGATCCATATTAGAGAAATTTGACAAAATGTGCAAAATTCTAATTTTTATGAAAATTGTTGAACTAAAAGTTGTTTGCGATATTGATCTCTATAATTTTTGTTTATACATGATTTTTCTAAAATGGACCGTAATGGAAAAATTGTAGGAAAAGTGCTAAATTTAAATTTGTCAGTATTTTCGTTTTCAATGAATATCTATAGAAAAATGATTCGAGGTATATGTATGTTGAAAATGTATATATTTAGTTTATCCTCTAAACATTTATAGAGGTGCTGCAATAGGTTGTACAAAATAACCAGAAAAAGCTTGTAATAACTAGATAGGAAAGTCATGTGTTGGACACATCAGATTGTTAAAATAAGAGAAATGTTTAAATCAAATTCCCAAAGATAACATCTCCATGAGTGAATAAAAAACTAATCTGAATTATCTTCAAAATGTATAACACTCCTATAGGTATATATGGCAAATTTTTCAAAAACTACGATTTAAAAAAATAGTTTTCACTAATAAAAAGAGTAGAAAATCTTCTACAATACCATACATTTTCGAGCCAGTTTTTAAAACAATAACAATTTCATGAATGTTTTACAAAATGTTTCAAAGCATATTTGAAAACCAAAAAGAACAAAACAATTTTTTATTTTTCAGACAAAAACATAAAAAACAGTGAATAAATAAATTATAATTAAAACAGTCTAAAAACATAATAAACATTCCCATTAATAGGCACACATGCCGATCACACATGCTGATGTGTGATTATGGCAACTTTTATTAAAAAAAATAAAAACCTTCAATGTTTTATAATTTTTTCATTTTAATCAACAATTTAATTGACATGCATTTATTATAAACCTTTAATCCCACCATTCAAATATTTATAACAATAATAAAGATATTATTTTACTTATCTATTAAGTACCTACATTTTTTATAAAAACAAATTATTATGAAAATGGTGATTTATGAGCTTTTGATAAAAAAAAAGCAATCAAGGCATAACGAGACCTTAAAAAATACTGATTAAGGAGGTCATTAAAATGTTTACTTACTTTGGTTTTGTGCCTTTGTTTCTTTTTTCTTTTACTTTGATCAGCTGTTTCTGTCACTGAAGGTGCACTAGCTTGTGAATGAAACTCGTATGCCTGTGTATCTGTGTTGTATTGCAAATATTGTCCTGTGGTTCCATCATAATATAACCCATATTCCTAAAGAGATCATAATAAGTACAGAAGAACACAAATAATATAATGTATTATAGTTACCGCATTATAGTAATATCCAGTATTATAATCATAATATAAACCTGAAGTTTCTTCATAAACGAAACCAGTTTTTTGCATAGCTATCTCAGCCGCTTCCTTTATATCATCAACTAAACTTTTTTCAGTATTAATATCTGTAGTATCTGTAGCAGACTCTACAATTTCCGTGGAATTTTCTATAAAATTAGTCTGCGTGGCAACATCTTCATTTTTATGCTTTGTCTAAAAAAGTCCAATGCAATTTTATCTTTACTATGAAATAATATTCACCTTAAGTTTATTTCTTAATTTATTAATTTTTTTCAAATGCTTTTTGATTATTTTTTCCAATTTTTGTATGTATTCCAGCACTTCGGGAATATCTTTTAATTTTTCTTTAAATTGTTCATCTAATTCCAGTTTAAAAGGTAAATCGGTTTCGCTGAAAGATGAATCACTATGTTTAGATTCTTTTTGAATTCTTGAATTTTCCATATTTTAATTAATAATAGATTAAATGAAACTAAACACAATTTTCGTCTAAAATCTAAAAAAAGCACTATTTATTTGTGTCAAATATGTCCAATATTTATCTGTCAATGTCAGACTGACATCTGTCACTTTTGGTAGTAGCTAATGTACCGATGCAAGTGCAGCATCACAATGCACTGATATAGTGAATGTGGGTAGAAAAAATAGACTCAAATCGGAAAACTAGACGTGAAATACGTGAACAGGAAATGTCCACAGGGAGGGGCCCTCGACACCCTTATCAGCCGCCTCAATTTATAGTCCCTACTCTACACAATATAGCGCATATGTAAGATAACCTGGTCGTTCTGAAAACAGGGAATTTGGAGAACATACCCAGACAACACACGAAATCCCAGAGATATCCATAGAATATCTTTTGTGGATATCCAATATATCCACAAGATATCAGAAATATTCCGTGGATCTAATATGGATATCCAAATGTCCGTCTATATCCAGAATATAGAAGATATCCTATGGATTATCCAGCAAAATATCTAATGGGTATCTTCCAGACAATACGACAAATCCCAGAGATATCCACAGAATACATTTTGTCGATATCCAATATGGATATCCAACCAAATGTCCGTCTATATCAGGATATAAAAGAATTCGGATATTCAGCAAAATATTTTATGGGTATGTATTGTCACAATTATTCCTTAAATGGAATTAATTTATTTTCATTCGGCTCAGTAAATAATTTAACATCCTGTATGTTAAATTATTTCTGAATAGTAGGTCGATTTCGAAATACTTTTAAATCGTAGAGAATGCATTTCATAGTTTCATAACAATTAAGTTAAAAACTAATGAACTTTGTGCTGACTCGACGATTTTGGAAGTCTTGCGGAATCGAACCTAGTCGGTTGATTTTAGGGGGTCATTGAGAGTTTTGCGGGACGGCAAAAAAGGTGGTCGCAATCGATCACAGAGAAAATAATTGGGGTTTGTAAAATATATATAACATAAAAATATAATTATACAAAATAAATACTAATAAATATTTCTGGGGATAAAATAAAATAAAGTAAAGTAAAAATTGTGACTGCTCCATGACAATGAGGTAAGGACCCCAAATTTTATTATTATTATTATTATTATATCGATTTTTGATTGTCTTTTGAGTCCTTTAATTACGGACATTTAATAAAGTGTTTGTGAATTTTTTATACATGGTGTTTCTATTATTACTAGTTTAGTTCCTTATATGGTAATTTAAGTCACCCGAGGTTTATCTTAAGTGGCGCAGATTCCTTCTAAACCAAGAAGTTAATCTGAGCTTTTTTCTTTCTTCTGTGGTATGGGTATCTTTTAGTAGAGGTTCATAAAAGTTAACGTCGAAAGAAAATAGCAGAGAACAAATATTTTCAACACTCTGCCTTTGATTTTGCCCACTAAGGAGAAAGTCATCCTTATTAGGACTCTTCAGCAATAAATGGAAATTCTCGACTCCAGTCTCTAATGGAGTCTGATTGGGAAACAAATTTCGATCGAACTCAATTACGGCGGGTTAAGCATGAGTAGATGCGAAAGTGGTATCGCCATCTATACTTAGTAAGCAAAATCAAAAATTACATCTAGTGGATATCCACGATGGTTTGCGTTCGCGCCTAGACTTTGATTATTTAGTGGATGTCCATGGGATATTGAATACACCTTAAAAAAATTAATTTTAAATATCTGAACGGTACTATTAGCCACAATGGCGAGCATAATGGCGTAATTTTTTAATAATTTGCTGTATAATTACTATTATTTATGGACATTTGCATGTCTATAAATTACATCTCATGGATATAAAATAGATATCCACCATGGACTGGACATTCAGTGGATATTGGGATGTCCAGTAGATATCCAAAGGATTTGGTGTGCTGTCTGGGAGGTTTAAGTCAGTCGCGGCCTTTAGGTTTTTGGTATAAGTATAACGTTTCGTTTCGATATTACGGTTTAGAATATAGCAATGTTGGTATGTGATGAAAGAAACAATCAGTATAAAGCCCCAATTAGACCTGCTATTGCCTATTTATACTAATAAACACACATTTGGAAACCTTATTCCTTTAAATTGATTTATTTTCAATAAATTTTTTTAATTTCGGAGGTTGGTTTTGTAGACATTTCCAAAAATATTTAATTTATTAATGAAATGAGGTAGAAAGTAGATAAGGACAAAAAGCCATAATAAAGCACACGTGAAAGAATTGTGGGAGGATAAATGTGCAATGAGTGGGAATTCGTGATATTTTTTTATTTTAGCCAACGTTGTCAAATCGAAAATATATTTCCTAGTTACAAGAATTTGCTATGAAATAAATAATATTAAATCGAGCTTTCTTAACGTAAAAAAGTTAAATTTTTATTATTATTTATTTTATTCAGACAACTATAAACTTTTTATAGTATTTTCAGGCTATAACAGTTAACATTTCAATTTATTTTTTTAAAATTTTGTAAACTTTCCTTCATGTCAAATTTCGCGAAAGCTCGACACGTGGCAACATCGCGAAGTGTCTTGCAGTCTGCCACAAATTAAAATTGAGGTTAACTATTGGTGATGTAGGATGTAGGAAGGGTTTTTAAAATTTTAATTGGAGACATTCCAAGAGAGGTGGCACGGTGAAATTATTTAATACTACTTACAAAAATGCTGTAGTAGTCAGTCCAGTATACCAGTTATTATTAAGTGATTGAAATACGAGTAGTGAATAATTCAATACGATGGATCACTGGCCGAAAGATGTGGGGATTTTAGCCCTAGAACTCTATATTCCATCCTCGTACGTGAACCAAACGGAATTAGAAGTGCACGATGGTGTTTCAAGTGGAAAATACACCATAGGTTTAGGTCAGCAAAACATGGGTTTCTGTACAGATAGAGAAGACATCAACTCCTTCTGCCTAACAGTGGTACAAAAATTGATGGACAATTACAAGATTAAACCCCAAGAAGTAGGTCGTTTAGAAGTAGGAACAGAAACAATCATCGATAAATCGAAAAGTGTTAAAAGTGTGTTGATGCAACTATTCGAACCTCATGGTGTTACTGATTTAGAGGGTATAGATACGACGAACGCCTGTTATGGGGGTACAGCGGCTCTATTAAATTCCATAGCCTGGATTGAATCGTCTTCCTGGAACGGCAGATATGCCATTGCAGTAGCCGGTGATATAGCTGTGTACGCTAAGGGTTCTGCAAGACCTACTGGAGGTGCTGGAGCTGTAGCTATGTTAATAGGACCGAATGCTCCACTGGTGTTCGACAGGTAAAAACTAGCAAATTTTGCACTTTTTCAAATTTCTCCATTACGGCCTGTTAAAGAAAAATCATGTAGGGTGAACCGTCCAGTTAATGACCACTTTAGGCAACAGTGATATATACATATTTGTAAATATGTTCGTTTTTAAAAGAAAAAGCAAGGAATAGCTGGATGAATTTGTTTACTAATTTAAGTTTTTTAACATAAAAATGTAAACATGGTTCATTTGGTTAAAATGTTTGATAATTTTGACAATCCTAGTAAATGACCAGTTCCTTTGAGTAAATGACCAAATAAAATACCAGTAAATGACTACAAAACTACTTTATTGTCTAAAAGAAAACATAAATACTTAGTTTAAAAAAATTAAGACAGTGTTTCATACTTTTCCATTTCAGGATCTGAATACACATGTCAGCATTGGTGGTTCAATCTTTTTAATGACATCCTCTTCTTTATACCATATTTGGTCATTTTTTCTGGCCATTTCCAATTTTGTGTACTTTTACACATGACTCGCACTTCATATTCTCCTCTTTGTTTTCATATCAACATTGGTAAAATAACTGTTCTCATATTTGGCAATCATGAAATCAGCAATGGTAAATGTAGTTGGTGGCATAGATTTCATGATTTCATTTTCATCCTGGTTGTCTTGTTCAATTTCCTCTAAAGATTCTTCATCTGAAATATTCGAATCACTTGAACTTGAAGAAGATTCTCTTCTCTTTAACTTTTTTGGCCTATTTTCTTTTTGTTTTGTTTAATTCTTCAGGTCTACATTTTTTTCCTCTCTAAGTTTTTTCTTTGCTCTTTTAATTCTTCAGCAATTCTTTTTTGTTCTTAGGGGCTTTTTCTTTAACACTTTTTTTAGTGGCAATTTCCAACTTTGGAAAGTGTAAGTGTTCCTTCCAGGAATCTTGGACTTTAACGAGATTTTTTTGAGCTAAAATTTAAATCCAATTGTGTTCTTTTGACTTATTTTCCTCATTTTGATTTTCAATTTGGATGCTTTTATTTTGAGTATTGTCTTGGTTTTCTACATGTTCCATTTCTTTCTCAATTTGTTCACATATATTTTCAATTTTTTGGGTAATCTCTGGGGCACTTTCTTGATTTTCTTTATTTATATCATCTACATTTCTAATTTCTTCAACTTCCTGATAATCATCATTTTCTGTGTCCATCATTATCAGAACATTATTTTTCATATTTTCTCTTTCGTCTTCTAATGCAATATAATTCTTGCCATTTTCTTCATTGGGGTTGTCTTGATTTTCTGCATATTTTTTCCATAATTTAAATAATTTATCAATATTTAAAACTTTTTGTGCTTTTCTCCCTTCTCTCCATGTTTTTAAGGTCTCTGGAGAAATTTCACTTTCTAGAATTTTTAAAAATTTAGTTTTATCAATTCCACTCTGATTACTCTCTACATTATTGTTATCTTCTTTTAGTGCTGCCTGACAAGTATTCATACATTTTGAAAAAACAACATTATTTGCATTAAATGGAAATATGCTACATGCCCTAAAGGCGTTTTGTATGGTTTCAATTTTGGCATTTTTAAATGCTTGTGTAAAAAATAGGTGCAAAATATACTTTGGTTAGAGATTTTCTTGTTTATATTTCTGACACTGCTTCCTCCAGGATACTTTTAGAGGTCTAAAGATACCAACATCACATGGCTGTAGTATGTGTGTAGCATTTGGTAATAGACAATATAAAATAATTCTTTTTTCTCGGCAAAAGTGGCTAGTTCAGGACTGATATGTGACTTATGTCCATCTAGCAGAAAGAGAACAGGCAATTTTATGTTATTATCTAACAGCCATGGATAGAAATTATTCGCCACATACTCAAAAATGTAGGACCAACCATCCAACCTGTATCACTTCGACCAATATAAAAATTATCAGCAATAGAGTTAGCAATGTCTCTAGGTATTCTTTTGTATGGATATATTATAAGTGTTGGAGCTACTTTTCCACTGGCAGGAAAATTTGCTAATACAATCAGGCACTTTTTTTCTTTTCCAAGCAACATCATAAAAATTTCTAAAATGTTTTGGCCCTAGCACCTTTCTTGTTTTGGGGCATAATTGCACCCCAGTCTCATCAGCATTATAGACCCTATCAACATCTTCAAGAACATCAACAGCATCTTCTTCTATTAAATAACTTTTAAGATCCTGAAACCACTTTCTGATATCTTGCTCAGTGACGCTAGCTCTAGCTTTGGAAATAATTTCAGCATTTCTTTTCCCAATATCTGGCTTTACTTTTAAAAATCCTTTTAGCCATTTGTCACTGGGATGGTTGTTGTTGAATGGATTAGGACGCTGGGTTTCTTCCATTACCTTTTGTACGGCATCTTTCACTTCATCTGGATGCATAGGAAACCCTATTTTTGCTTTTTGGATTATCCAATTCTCCAACATATCTTCTTCCTGAGCAGCAAGATTCTTGGTGGGTCCATCTTTCTTACTGAAACATCGGATTTTCCATGAAGTTTATTAATTAAAGTGCCTTTTGGAATTTTAAATTGTTTACTGGCTTTAGTAGCACTAATTCTTCCTTCTTGGACTTCTGTCACTGCAGCTTTTAGATCTTCAATGGAATACTTAAATCTTGTATAATAATATGCTCTATTGGGTGCTTCTGTCATCTGAAAATAAATGTTACACAATTGCTTTACTGCACAAATAATATTTTAATACATAAACAGCAAAAAGTCATTGACTAGGCTAAATATCCAGTACTTAAATAACCAGAAGAGCATTTAGATAATAAAAGTGGTCATCTATAGGCCAGTCAATTCCCTCATTATTTACAATGCTTGCATAAAAGAAGCATCCATATAGTGATGCGCCAACCCAGTAAATGACCACATTCGGTCATTCACTGAATTTCTCAGCTTTAGCATTACCTATTATTGACCATTTAAAAAATAAATGCTTTTTGAGCTTATATTAGTATTACAGCCTAAAAAATACTAAATTTGATCTTGTTTCATGCAGTTTAGTTCAAATAACATAACAGTTTTACAACTCCAATACATATTTTTTACAAAATAAAAAACACTTAGCTCTACTTACCTTAATTACTTGTGGTTACTTGAGAAGGAAACAAAAACACATTCATGCACTTTTAACTGACATTTGTAAACTACCGATTATGAGCAGTGTTGTCAAATGTATAAAAAAAATTGAAAATTAGGTGAGGATCAATTTGGTGTATAATATGATGCCTTAGGTTATTAAAAATTCTTAATAAATCATAAATCAGTAAATATTGGTCATTTACTGGGACGTGGTCAATAACCAGACGGTTCACCCTATAGAACAAAAATTATAAAGAATAACATTACAAACAACTCTTATTTAAAAAAAAATTCTTCTCTAATTTATAAATAACAGAAATATACCTTAAAATAGAAAACCAACCCTCTATAAAGTACCCCCAGATGCTCCAATTATGCCCAAAATTTAATTGGGAGGAGTTTCAAATTTAGTCTTTTCTTCTTTATCTATTTTCGAGTTATTGTGGATATAGATATCATTGTGAAAATAGTTGAAATGGATTCAGGAGAAACCAAAACAAATTTGCACCCGGAAAAATAATGATTCCTAGACTTTTTTACTGGATATAAATATATCTATATTAACCATTTTTCTGTGATCAAACTAAAATCCAAAAGATCTGTGTATAAAAAATAATACAACTAACTAAAAGACTTAATATCACAAGGTGAAACAAATAAAATCTTAATCTAGGTACTTAAATGGAGTACTTTACCTGAAATTGTAAATGTAACCTTTCAAAAAAAATTAATAACAGATTCTGAATTGATTTTGGGCAGCAGTATAAAATTTATATCTAGCAGTTCACACAGCAAGCATGAGCTAGTGTTCAACATTTGTGTGGTGCATCTTTATCGTTATTTGACTGGCACAGTTAACACTTGATACTTTTAGTTTCTAACATAATTTTAACAATATTTATTATTTCCTTTATTTAGCTAGTTTGCTAATATCACAATATACAAATTTAGTAAAAATATACATATAAGTCAAAACATAGATAATTTCGATACAATTAAAACTAATTAAAATTCTATAGGTTGCTACTGTTTCTGGAGAAATATTCATCAATTAAAAAATCTGTCATTTTGACTTTAAATGTAGTTACAGACTTTACTGATTTAAGTTTCTTTGGAAGTGCATTATATTGATTTAGACCTTTAAAAAATAGTGAATTTTGTGTTGCACTCTTAACAACGGTTTCAATATAAAAGTTATTTCTGTTCCGCATTGGATAATTGTGCACATTAGAGTGATAATTAAGCTTCTCTTTTAGGTACATTGGAAGTAACCCGGGTTTGGTTTTATAAATAAAAATTAATGCATTCAACAATAAGAGACTTGATTGGCATCCACCTCAAAGTTTCAAGCATTAGATTAATGGAAGTATATTTTGAATAGGATAATATTATTCGCATAGCCCTATTCTGCAGCTTCTGTAGTCGGTTCAACTCATTTTGTTTTAGTAAAAAGAGTATTGTAGAGCAATAATTAAAGTGAGGTAGAGTTATAGTATTATATTTAACATATTTAGTCCACTGTGATAAGCCAAATGAACTTCTAAATAGGAAATGTATCTTAAATACAATAGTTTTGATAACAGTGTTGGCATCATCTATGAATCTCATCTCCTTGTCAATCATTACCCCTAAGTATTTGAATTTTTCTACTAACTGTATGGAATTTCCTCCAATTGTTATATTGTTTATCAACAAACTGTGTATAGTTATAGTTGCTACTTATCAGCATACATTTTGTTTTATTTGTGTTAATTTTCAACAAATTATTGCAGCACCATTTATAATCATGTTGCAGTGTTTCATTAACAACTCTTACCAAGTTATCTGAATCCTTACAAGAAAAATATATTAGAGCATCATCAGCAAACAGGTGAATGTCACATTGACCCTTGAAATCAACAATG